TTCGTTAATATTCGCCCCACATGCGGGGTATATATTAACAAATGACTTTTTGGTTTTCATGGCTCTCTTTCTGGAAGCACTTACATACCTGATGATTTTTGTTATTAATATCATAGCTGAATAACCAAAGCATGTTTTCAATAAAAAATGAAACGAAAAAGTCTATTATCAACGAAAATATAAATCATAATACAGAATTTGTTAGTACCAGCCCCGCCCTCCGGGCGGGGCTGGTTTTAACGGAGGTAAGAATTAACAAGCTTATACCCGCCAAACGTGAAGTGATAAAAAAATGAGGCTCGGTTTAGAATAACTAGAATACACGGCCGAACGTGTCCTAACTTGTCAGTTATCGATCGGCCGTCGCTAGTGTAGTTGTGCGTAATAACTTTGAATTGACAGGTAAACAAACTTTTTGTACTTCGTAATAAATTGATTTAAGATTTATTTTTACGCTAAATTTAATCAAAGTTAATCCTAAATGGAATTGTATTTTATTGATTTTAAAACTATTATACTTGTTTCTAATTATTTTGATTAGTTTATTTTCTATAATTGATAAAATATAAAAAGTGACCTTGGGGCTAAAATTAACAAATTGGGTGGGGTCAGTATTAACATGTGTTATTAAACGACTGTTTTTTGCAAAAAGTACGTTTTTTTATAGAATGAGAAATTACAAAAGGAAGAGTACAAGGGGGTCTTCGTCTCAAAAAGTATTTGAGCTGGCAGCTGAAGAAGTTCTGGTAAAAATAGAGATGTTGCTACTGAATACGATATTTGTCACGTAACGCTATTTAAACTTGTTACTGATCGTCCCGATCCAAATACTGCTTCGATGGGCAACCAGGGATCACTTCAGCCTGGAGATATTTCTGTCAACCCAGAAGAAGTATCACTACATTTAGACTCTTCAATCCAAAATGAAATTTTACATAGCATGCCTGATATTGACATAAGTATTTCAGAGGTTATTGATAAACTATCACACGTACCATCAAATAAACAGCGACCGTCTCATGAACCAGGACCATCAAATACAAAGCCAACAGAATGTTTTAACGTAGAAACAATAAGACCGCTTCCAAAAGCACCTCCACGTGTCGAATCCAAACGAAAGCGTTCAAGGAAATCAACGATTCTCACTGATACTCCCGAAAAATTGGCCTTAGAGGAGGAAGCAAAATTAAAATCATCAAAAAAGATAAAAACTAGTCTGACTGAAACTAAAAATAAGGGTAAAGGCAAAGGGAAAAGTAAAGGAACCCGGAGAGAAGAAGTAGAAAAGGTTAAGAAGCATATTCTGCAGGACGTTAGTGAAGAAGATACCTGCTTTTGTTTGGTTTGTGCCGAGTCTTATAATGAAGACACATCTGGACTTGACTGGATACAATGTATTTTATGCAAAGGATGGGCTCATATCACCTGTATTAGAGGTGATACCAGAAAATACATATGCCTCAACTGTTTCTCAGATGAAGAGAAATCGTATTCTGATTAATTATTGCCTGATTTGAAGTACTTATTTCCTGTCTAAGTTTAAGTACAAATTAGATTAAGACTGATTTAACTAGTTACCTTATTAATATACCTAAAGACTAAAAACTTGTCTCATACTAAAAAGTATTAACACTGTGACATTTGTTGATGAATATCAAGTAGATTTAAAATACTGTATTGCTTAAGGTAACTCATAGAGGTTTTTTAAGACTGATACTAAAATGTTTATGTGACTTTTATTTAATTATTATGTTTAAACTATTTAAAAAAATGTTCGTAACAGATTTATAAGATAATACTATTTTTTCGACTCCATTAAGAAACTTAAAGACTGTTGAACCTAAAAAGTTTAAGTTTAAGTAAGTAACTTTAAAAGATTAAGTTTAAACTATGTGTTTAATTTTTTTTAGGCTTAAAACTATTCAAACTGTAGCAATGATTATTATTAAGTGTAGATTTAAAAGAATTTGTTATATTCTTTCAGTTCCTATCATAAAAAGTACTAATTAGTTTAACATTGAAGGCAATAAAACTTTTTCATTAATTTCAGTGACATTTTATTTGAGTATTTGATATAATTCAAGTATCTGTTATTAATTGCCCCTTACGTTAATACTTACCCCAGCTTCGTTAATATTCGCCCCACATGCGGGGTATATATTAACAAATGACTTTTTTGGTTTTCATGGCTCTCTTTCTGGAAGCACTTACATACCTGTGATTTTTGTTATTAATATCATAGCTGAATAACCAAAGCATGTTTTCAATAAAAAATGAAACGAAAAAGTCTATTATCAACGAAAATATAAATCATAATACAGAATTTGTTAGTACCAGCCCCGCCCTCCCCTACTTACAAGAAACAGTACAGTAATAGCTGACGTTACCTATATATTGTCGGTAAAGACCTGTAGAACTTGTTTGGCGGTCATGGCGCCCGGTGAATGCGAAAGTGTAAGGAAAACTATTAGGTACTCCTTATTACTAATAATAATTCAGTGGCACGATATCACTCATAGCCTTTACTTAAGATCCGTTTCCGTAAGAAATTTCCTTTCAAGAATTAATTGTTGATTTCGATGATCTGCGAGTTTTCTCGCAATCTACCTTTAACGTGTTAATTGTGCTTAGATATCGATATCCGTTGAAAGCCCGACCTCGGAGTGCAGTGTTCTGTGTTACACGCTTAGCCTCTTGGACAGTTCACTCTTATGAAGTGTAAGCATTAATCGACCATTGCGTGTTCTGTTATTATGAAAATAAATATAACAAAACATTTTTTATCCACTTAAATCGTTTTAAGTACTTTTATGAACCTATAATTAACTTACACAAAATATAAAACTCAAAATATCTTTATTCATATAGGTAAACAAGTACACGTATGAATCGTCAGAAAGAAGTTAAATTAATTGTAAATTTACATTTACTACCAGTTCGCAAGTCAAGGGCGTAGAGCGGGGAGGAAGAACTGGCAAGAAACTTTCTGCCACTCTTTTTAATCGCCAAGTATTGAGTCATACAAATTGTTTGAACTGGAGCAAATCAATCCCAAGGATTAGGATCATTTAAGTATTCCTCAAATTTATAAAAAACTTCATTGATTAATTTTCGTTTAACGAGGGCTTTGAATTTATTTAGTTTATAAAAAGAAAAAAAAATTAAAAAGTGCAGGCAGCCTGGCAATATTTAAATTACTACTAAAACTCCATCTCTTGAGTCATCCCAGTTATCTACGTAAATGAAAGTCCACCCAAGTTTACTTCGCTAATTCATCCTTGAAGCTCTTCAATGACCCACGACGTAATAAATTGTAGCTTTAGTATATAAGTTCTCATGTAAGTGACTATTGTCTCTTATGAGAATAAATGTCTTTAAACCTAACCTTTACTTATATGTATTATCAAATTTGTGAGGTTTTAGGCTGTAATCTGTAAATATACTGATACAATTTCGAAAATTATTTTACCAATAGAGAGAGAGTATTTAGTAAGTCTGAGAATCGGTTACTATCTTTTAAACCCTAAGTGATGAGGGGTGCCCACCCCAAATATAATATTTTAATTCTTTTTTTTTTATTTTTTTTATTAGGTGCATTAAAAAATACATACAACCCTTAATTTTCGCCCCTCTACGATTAAACCCTATTTTTTTATTATAGTAGGAGATAGTTATTTTTATTGAACTAAAAAATGTTACCTAGAAATAATATACATGGCAAAACAACGTTTGCCGGGTCAGCTAATATTATATAAAAAGTCCTTTGCCGCCTCTATTTGTTCTGTTCACTGAGAAACCACTACATCGAATTAATTGTTTTCACCAATATATATAATTATTCATGGAGACGGTTTAGGTATATAATTTTTCTAGGTTTACGGTTACCCGTGCACGGGCCGATAGCTACATATGTTTGAAACATTATTTTACAATCACAACCTCGGCGGATATTTGGACATACTAATTTGGCAATTATTTCGAGACATACAATCATGAGTTTGTTTTTGGACCTTGTTATATTCGTTAATCGTTTATTTACACTCGGGGCCAAAATGCGCTTTTCATCCACCCGTGTTTATCTCACGTGACTTCCAATGTAACAAGAGCTCTTATTAATCGTGCAGAATTCATTTGTGATTGACGTAAACGATATATCGTAGGTCTTCTTTAATTGGTCAATAAGCTGGGCCTGGTCAAGGTCTTAGGGTTTGTTATCTGTTGTTTAAATCACGTGTACAATCATAAATTTAATGTATTTCTCAATCCAATTATCAGTCTCTAATATGTGCTCTCTGCAGATCAGTCTATTTAAATATTGTTTTGTGAGGCTGTGTTATAAAATTGTTTGGTAATTATATTTTAATAATGTTGTATTCAGTGATTTTTATTATTTACCCTTGTAGTAGGTTAAAATCGAATCAAATTCAAACTGAAAATAACTTTATTCATATAGGTAAACAAGTACACTTATGAACGTCACAAAATAAGTTAATTTTAATTCTAAATTTACATTTACTACCAGTTCGCAAGTCAAGGGCGTAGAGTATATATAGACATATAGTATTGTCCTTGGGAATTGCTTTAAGGTCCCTTATCAACTGACCTTACATTTCATTTGTTAATACTTAAGTAGTCCACGTATACAAAACCAAACTTTATCACATTTAGACAGCGTGTAGAATATATGTCCCCTTATTTTAATAAATTAAATTTATCTTCAATATTCATTTGTCACATTTGATTGATTTACTTTGAAAGAACTGACGCGCTTCAGTAAAAATATAAAAACTGATTGATTTATGTTCGAATAAGGGAGACAGTTCAGTACTTAGTGTAATATGTAGACTTGTAATTACAATTGTTGCAAGCTCATTAGTCATCACTTACTAAATGTTACTTAGATAAATATAATCTATGTGATAACTTATATCGGTTCACATGAGACAAGAATTTTTTACAAGTATATTGATTTTTTGCACAATCTAAGTAACATTTGTCATATGCATGCACTGCTTGTGTTTAGCTCGTGTTTTGTTGCATGCAGGTCTAGAAGGGCGTCCCAGCAGCTGTCCCGGAGCGCTGAAAGTATTGATCAGTCATACAAAAGGTAAGTGCCTTATATATTGGACTTTTGTAAATGAATTTATTTCAATGTTGTTGCCTGAATTAGAATTTGTACTTTATAGTGGAAACATAGTCCGGTCCAGATGTTTTTTTGTTGACCAACCTCAGATATGAGTTATCCAACGAAACCAGAGTTTAATAATAATAACAGTTAAATTATTAGCTTATAAATGGGTATTTTGGAAAAACGAATATCTTAAAATTTTTCTTTTTATCAACTGAAGTTCCGATGGAACTGATTGAAGAATTCAAGTTTAATTGGGTTATGTTGGGGCCAGCTTTTAATATAGAATTTTAATTTTCTTTCAGGTCCAAAAGCCGATCTGTGGACCATGGCTTCGCGCCGCCCTTCGACCTGGATTCCCTGCGGTCGAAGGTTGAGAGCCGATTTGATGCTGTACAGAAAGGTACTTTTCTTTCTACACTTAGATATATATAATATTTGTTCCTGTTTTAATATGGAATTTTGCCATTTGGAACTTTAGTTGAATCGGTTGCTTTCCTCCCATGATAGGCTGAGACGAAGAAAGCGTTTCATTATAAACTAAAAAACAAAAACAATTCACAAATCCTTTTTTTATCTATATTCAGTGCAGCCAAGTCAGATTTCTCACCCGAAACAAATTTTATTTCGCCGGTGTCTCACTCACAGCCTCCAGGCTATGCACTCTCATGCATGAAAAGATAGTTAATAAGCCATATAGGTTACGCTTCTGAGAAAATGTAGGAAATGTAATTTTGAATGTATTCAGAACCGAACCGGAACCGCCGCAAGATGTTGTTTATAAATGGATCGTAGGGAAATTCTTATTTATTCATATCAATGTCACTGGAGCTTGTTATCTCGGCGCGGAGCGTATTCTGGCACAGTCTTCTAAATAAATATGCCACTCATTAAAACAAGTATCCGGCAGATAACGTAAACTATATTAATAAATTCGTCCAAAATATTTACATAAGAACACCGACGGTTTTATGGTTTATTTGGTTAAGAGTAATAAAATTTTGGTCTCTCGTAACAGTTCATAATAAGCGCTTTGGAGTCATAATAAATAATAATTAAATAGATGATGTCCTTTGTTGATACGAATTGTCAAATAGACCACAGATTAAACGTAGTTAATAATTTGAATTTCATCAAAAAAAGAAAGACAGATAGAGAGAGATTAGTAAACAGTTGCATAGATTAGAGGAAAGGAGGACTTGGAGGAGGCCCTTACTCTGTGGGAAGTCGAATACTAATATCTTAATATACATATAAATTACGTGTCACGTTGTTTGCCCGCTATGGACTCCTAAACTACTTAACCGATTTCAATCAAATATGCACACCGTGTGCAGTTTGATCTAACTTATAAGATAGGATAGCTTACAAATATATATTATTCTACTGTCCGTGTGTATATCTCTGAACTCCTCTTCAACGGCTGGACCGATTTGAATGTTTTTTTGTATGAGTCCTGGATGGCTTAGATACACAATTCAGCCCGACAGATGGCGCTGAAGTCGGTACTTTCATACTTTGTTTAATATCCTAATCGCTTGAAATATCATGCAGGATAACGTCTGTGGGGTCCGCTAGTTAAATATAATAACAACATAAACTATATTATAATTGAATTAATCTAAAAACTAGGAGGATGAGAAATCTGTAAAAAGCATGATGGCGCGTTTCTTTTCATTGTAATTGGTTGAATCTAGTGGAATTACAGACAAGCGACACGATCCGGTGTATAGTTTCGTCATTCGTATTATATCTCAGCGACTAGCCTTTTAACAAAGTATTCAAATTTTAAAGCTAGACAACAAAATTACCTACAATTACTAGCTTAAAGTTTAAAGAACTGAACCGTACCAGTTTAATTAGCGTGGTTTTGAAAAACAAAAGTGGTTCAAGAACAAGCTTTACATTAAAATTGTATTGTGTTTGATATTAACGAAACTGTGAATAAGCTCCCGTCGAAACCTTACGGGCGTTTGCAATTAATCATTCTTTATTTTTTGTGTTCGTTATTTTAAATTTCGAACAACACAAAATGCAAGTTTTAACGATTATAGTCGGAAATGTAATAGACTTTCACTTTGGGATAAAAATGATATACATAGTAATTAATTTAATAAATGTATATGCCATTTATAGGTTTTTATAATAAGATTTACCCAAAACACATAGATTTATGGCTCTTGGATAGGTATATTTTCTGATAAACCGTAGAACCGAACCAATTCTACTTAGGGTCCTACACCAGAGAGCACCAATTGCTAAAAGGCCGGCAACGCACTCGCGAGCCCTCTATATAATATATATAAAAAAAGACAAGTGTTTGTATATAAACACACCTAGATAGCATCCCCACACAGACAGGACCCATAACCATTAACACTGCAATCGTATAAAATAAGACTGCTATAAAATTACACTGTGGATATTTACAGGTCTTAAAACTACATTGATATTAGTGGTAAACCCGTGAATTATTTCATTTTAACATCTGTTTCAGCAGATTTGTTTTAATTATCAATATTCCGAGATGATTTATGAGTCGCGTATTCCAGACAGCTGACGTCATTCATTTAAATTACATTATTGTATAGGTGACCCGCCCGACTTCGCCTTACTCAACACAGATCTATCATATTTATGATCGAAATACCAAAGATAAAAAAATTGGTTATACTTTGAGCTAACTGTATCCCGTATGTCAAATCGCGTTTAGCTTTATTTTGACATAGACACAAATAATACAATATACAGTTGATAATGCACGCAGATTTAGAGTTTAAAAAATTATGACTCATGTTTGAAAAATCAATATGGTTTTAGTATATCCCTTTTGCCATCATAAAGTAATATTTTTCTCTAGTATTATTTGTTTCAATATTTATTTTAAAATATCAATGAATATTGTACGTTTTATAAAATAGTATTGCGGGCGATGGGTGGGTCAAAACGCCACATAAAATTTACAGAACTAAGGTCAACTGAAAAATAATGCTAGCCGCCAATGTGTATATGAAAAAAAATAAATGAGTGTTATTAATGGTGCCCACTGTTTTGCTGCGCAGTGACAACAAGTTTTATAGCATTGGCAATGTTTTCTAAGCAAAAACGAGTTGTTTTTAATCACGACGGTTTTTTTATACAATTTTAATGTTTATTTCTGTTCGTTAACAACTGCTTTAGATGTCTTATTTAACAGAATTAATTACGATTTGTCAAATATTTTATTAGACTCTTGCTTTAGTCTTTTTTCTTAATATTTGTCTATAAATGCTTGTAACATTAAAATTTGTATTAATTTTGAGAAATAAAATTAGGGATGCATCCGATACCGATGCCGATACCGATATATCGGCGAAACTTTGGGTTTGCCGATATATCGGCATCGGCGATATTTTCATTACCGATTCACCGATACTTTTCAAATTTCACGCTTTAAAACAATAATGTAAACATGCATTTTGTATGATCTAGTTTGTTGCAAACGAGCCACGGACTATTGTTGCCCGATAAATCCGAGCGTTTTATTCAGATTGTTGTCTCTATCATTCGGATGGGGACAAAGCATTATTATTTATGTGTTACATATGTATTTCATTTCGCTAAACACTATTTATTTATTAACACTTTGTGGCATTACAATATAAAAATTGAATATAATTAAATGAAAAGGAGGGCAAAAATACGTATTACATATAAATAAAAAAAGTCTACATGGAAAATAAAAAGTGCACATGAATCACGATAATTTACGATCAGTCTCATGTCAGTTAGTAGTTACTCGTAGTACGAAAAACTCTTGTTGGATTGATTAGTAGACCAAAATTTTTACTCGAGTCAACTATCTTTGCCAGCGCATAGTTATTAGATATTATGGCTTGCGGGAGATCATTGAGACTTTATTAAACGTAGATTTGAAGATCATTTAGTTGGCTTTTAACTGCTATCGCGAGTAGTATTTTTTCGATACCAAATTTAATAACATACAGAATTACAACAATGTTATCATTGTTAATTTTAATTATTAACAGTTATTTATTTTATTTTAATTTAATTATTACTCTTAATTCTTAATTTTAGTAACAAAACCTTTAAAATTATTCAAAGTTTGTGACTATTTTTTGTATATATATTTTTTTAATAAAAATTATAAACTTTAACTTGATATATTTTACCTTAATTTAATTTTAATTTAATAAGAGTTGGTATCGGTATCGGTATCGACGATATTCCTATAAGTGTATCGGCATCGGTATCGTATCGGCAAAAAAGCGTATCGATGCATCCCTAAATAAAATAGATTAATCAAAAATTGTTTTGGCGTTCAGAATTCAGAATCACGTTTGTTGTCTACAGGTACACTATTATTCGGTGTGTTTTGCAATAAAGGTCGCAAATTATTCTTTCAAGATATTTGGTATTTTTTACCAAAACTTGATGATCACATATAGGTGCATAGCGTATCTCTGGTGCACTCCTGGAACTTTGCCCAAATATTAATCGCATCGCTACTGCGTTTTATTACTCTGCACTTATGTGCTTGCAATCTCTGTGATCTCATTCGTTTAGGGATTAATTTTGTAAACAAATTTTTGTGCTCAATTTTGTTTATAAATAACGGGAATAAAGATTGTATGAAAACGCAGAATTTCAGTGTAAATAGTCCACTGGTTAAGCGATTCTTGGCCCTGAGGTCAGTAAGAAATAATTCTTGTATACCTACGGCTCGCGTTTCTTATCTCTTACAATTCAATTACAAGAATTTAAGATATTAAGGACAATAAAAATTTCACAACAATCTTCTTAATTATCGTAATTTTGTTCATTACTGTCTTAATGAGATTTAAGTCTCCATTTAATTTTTACACAGGCCTCTTTGTCTGTGTTTTTTCTTTGCTAGTTTGTAATTTCTATTTTCTAATATAATTTATGTGTGTAAAGTTTGTATCGTATATTTTCTTGTGTTTTTTGTTTTATGCGCGTTCTTAAAAAAACGTCATGAGGACATGGCATGACTAAGACACAAAACTTGACTATCTGCGCAAGGCACTGAAGACTGACCAGTGTCTATAAAAAAATAAATGAAGCAGATGCAAAGGCCCAGATCCATAAAGGGTTGTATGATCAAAATTCATATTTCCGCACACACATGGCATTTAAACCGTCTCTGCTCACTCATCAACATCCGCAACTAGATAGCGTTAAACGCACGTATATGATGTCGTTAAAAGACCGACGAGTCTTGTTAACGGGTACATAATAAAATTTGATGGGAAAGTTTTGCATTTCGGCTTAATGATAGAATATCGAAATGACCATGAATTTTGTATAGTAGATATTGTTTTCGGTATTTATCATTTATGATTTTTCATTTATTTTAATTATTTTGGCCGGCAACGCACTAACGAGTCTTTGGCATTGAGTATCTATGGTTGGCGGTATCACTTACCATCAGGTTTACTCCAGCCCTGTTCTAGAAAAAATATCTCGAAATGTCACTTATAATTATATTGTGGACAAGCGGAAGGGAGACTCACCTAAGTGTCGCGTTGGAGAACTAATAATTATCATTTGCAGATACTGAGAAAAACAAATGACATTGCACTTATCGAGTGTTTGTTCGTACTTGTTAATGCATCAATAGTTCAGTGTTAAACTAAGGAACCTTCTTTTATAGAGTCATTTCGTTAAATGTCGGCTAAGATTACCAGCTGTTATTAATACTAATAGTAATCGTTACTTGTGGCATAAGGTTCCTACACCTGGGATTTGACACTAAATCACTTTTCAACAGGCGTGTCTCACTTATGCTAAAGGAATTTGTATGGGAATGACGTTACCTCACGTTTTGTCACGTGGCCGTATTCATACAAATTTGTTTGACGTTAGTCGGTCACGACTGTCGAAAAGTAATATAGTCTCAAGCCCCTGGTGAAGGTTTACCATAGAGTGAGTTTTAATTGAAAATCGGGCGTAAGTTATACAAACAACTCCGTTATTGAACTAAAATATCTAAAAAAATAAAATATCTAGAAAAAGATCCAACTTTTAAATGCTTCTATTATATTCAATTGTATAACAAAACCTACTTAATCATTTTCTGATTAGATTGATGATCTGATCTTTGTATAGTGTTTGCAATGGGCAACTGCAAGTATATATTTTAATCACTAAAGAATAGCGACCTTGCAACACTACGTACAATTCCTATGTTGGCTAAATAGTAAGTGGATAATGGGATTACCGACGTAGCCTCCCAGCTCGCAGTGAGCGACGTATCTTGAGCGAAACAGTCAAGTTCAGCTATTGATTTCTCTGTCAAAGCCAGTTTCACGAATTCACTCGTACACGCATTTGTCAATTCAACCAAATTGATGGTTAAATGTCCCGCGGTGCCCTTTGTTTAAAATGTAATTCACGTGAAACGGTGTGATTTATGAATTTAATTTGTGAAGCACAGATAAATGATGGATGAAGGTATGGACTTGGTGTGGAATTTAATTATTTTTAATCTGTAGGTGATGAAGATAAGGATCAATCTAGCACCTTGTATATAATAAGGTGACTAAAGTATACGTTTATAAATAAGCCCTTAATCACGTTATTGTGATATTTCACGTTTTATATAACGACGAGCAGACCGGCCAAGCGTTGCTGTGGCTAAGGCTTTTGTTATATTACATAGTAGTAAACGATTCATGGAAAACGGTAGGAGAATATCAGTAATGGGAACCACCATGCTTTTTGAGTGGCATTAAATTGTAGGTGATGTGAAACGTTGGTACTTTCAACACAGCGCCATCTGTTAGAATTGTGACTATCAAATTATAAACAAATAATTTGCAATAAAATAATATTGCGGGTATAAATTGAGATGTAAGCTATGTAAGATATAAGTATCTTTTAAGTTAGATCAAACTGCACACGGTGTGCAAATTTTAATGGAAATCGGTTCAGTAGTTTAGGAGTGACGTGACGCGTAATTTATATACAGTGTAAACACTTTGTAACGAATTTCAAGGGACCGAGCAGTTTTATTGTTTATAGACAGGGTTCGTTATAGAGAGGGAAGAATTAACGTATGGGTATTGGTTTAAAGTTTAAAACAAATAAATTTAACTCAATTTTACGTTATAGAGAGTTTTTCGTTATAACGTTATAAAAAGTTCTACTACTTCTGTACCGTGTAAAATGTCAACGAGTTTTTCTGATGTAAATTAAATGCATAACTTTTTCAGACGAGGATGAGCATGCCAAGAGGTTACCACCCCCACCCCCTATTAAAACTGTGACGTACACGGTAAGCGTTTAATTGTATTTGTTTTATAGTATTTGTATTAAGCTATCTAATTTTAAGGTCGACATTTAAACTATTTGATTTAACATTTATTTTATTTATTAACACTTCGTTGCATAACGTTGTATAATAAAAATTAAATTAGATAAGGTAGGCAAGAAGTGCAAAAATACATATTACATATATTTAAGTAAAAAACTATACAGGAACAAAAAACAAACTAAACTAATATATATTAAGTATATTGCTGACTTTATGGAATTCTGGTTGGAGTATAACAGTTTCATGAAGCCCATAGACAAATTTAAGCTACGAACATGTATAATGTTAATTTCTTAGAATTGTTATAAAGCGTACATATGATTTAATTTTAGACGTAAGGAAAATGTTCTTTCCCTGTGTCATTGTTTTATGTATTCATATTGTGGGAGTGTATATTGATTTTTCATATGCGTCTTATAACAAAAACACATTAATGTTTGGTTTTTTGTTTTCGTTACAGCTTTTTGTTTGCACACTGATTGATTCTCTATTCAATTTAATAATCAACTTTCAAAGCATTTGGAGAATTTTAAAGTTCATTCGCTTCGTCCTTGTCCTTAAAGACATGACAGAAACGACAATTGGAGGTGCTTAAATATTTTTGCGCTGTTTCTGATTTAGATTGTGTTTTAAATTGAAATGTAACAAATTTAATATACCTAGGCTTATTTAATAAGAGTAAATAGATGATGGAGCTGCTTTTATATTGCATATTTGATAATAAAACTTTTTGTTAAATAAAATCCGCTTATATTACGTATTAAATGAAGAGATTTTTTAGAAATGCAATTTTATGTGTCAGGTTCGTGACCGGGACACTCTGACGTCATTGGCTGCTCGCTTCGACACCACGCCCTCCGAGCTGACCAAACTTAATCGACTGGCCACGCAATTCATCTTCCCAGGACAAACACTTCTCGTCCCGGATAAAAGAAAAGGTATTTTTGTAGAAAATGTACACCTGTATTTGTTAAGAACAAGTAAAGTTTAATGAGTTCGATGATATACAAATACATATTTTTAATTTGTCTAAAGTCCCTTTACCAATGGGTTCTGGAGTACTTCTGCTTGTGCGAACTTTATAGACAAGTAGTATGTATGAACGTGCCTTCTCGAAGCGATTATTTCGGGGTATTGAACCTAGGAGGGTGTTATATATGCGTTACCAACTAAACCCACGAGATCAAAAAGAACACACTATATAGTACAAATTGATATCGCACTAGATTATTTCTTAATTTCCGTGTTTGTAATCTTTCATACAATTTGTCGATTAAAAATGAGCAAAAGTTTAAGATTTTTTTACGTTGAAACAGTTATAAATATATCAATGACATTAAAACTATAAATCATAAAAGCAATAAAATTTCTACCTTCTTCTAAAAGCTACAACTTTTCACAACATACAAGTTTATTGGTTTTGTTTATACTGAAATATTATGTATACTATTTATAATAAGCGTCTTTTATATATTTTTTTTTCTCATAACTAAAGAAAATCCCTAAAATACTCCTAAAACCGATACGGCTTGATAAATTTTATACATTTTTATGTGTCGTAAATAATGTTTATGTCCCATTTTTTACATTATTAATTTGGCATTAAAAACCTTTATATTTTTTTCCTAAAAAAATAAGGTTGTGATTAAATTTATTTAAGGCTAGCCCATAGGTACCTGTGTTGTGGGTGACCAGCGATGTATAAGTTATTCAATTACCGAAATATTCACATAAAATAATTTATATGGCAACACTACGGTAGAGATGGGTCAGCTTATGTTAGTACAGACATTTTTGTGGAGCTTGTTGTATTTGAATGCGCCTGTTATATTGAAAGAGAAACATTGCTCACTAGTTTCCCTCGGATTTGCTTGATTTAATTGACAAAATCTGGATATTAAAGTCACTTCTTTTTTGACTAATAAAATGACCTAGTCGATGTTACCCATACTTGAACTAATTGTCGGTTAAAGGCACTTTTAATTATTTAGAAGTTAATTGTTCGGTGTTGAGAAAATGGCAAATACCCCACATTTAATGCAGCCTCCAGAGTATACAGTATCTGATCACCTACTCTTTGAAACTATCATAAAAATCGTTGATTTCCAAACCCTGTTCCATTATGGTAGAGGATTTTTCATTTTACTAAAGGATTGAACTTAAATATTCATTACGCATATTTCCAGAACAAATTTAAAACGATTTGATATTACAGTAACATTAATAATTTACAAAAATAGATTCTGTAATCAAATCAGCGCCGTTATCTAATTGAGATATAATCGTACACAGTATCATTTTTGTTTATTCATATATGCTTATACTAAAATAAACGGGCTCGTAAAATCGGGCTTTTTTTTGATAGATTTTGATTTGATTATTCAATATAGCTTAGATACAACAATTGATATCGATACCTATTGCCGGTACTATACAAATTTTATAGTACGATTTATCTTTAGACTCAATATTGGGTTCACTTCCGGGGATTACCTCCTATCAGCGAAAATTTTCTGGCCAGCTAGTATTTTTTGAGGTCTGAAATCAGGAAAATGTCGCAGAGGCCAAATCTGGAGAATACGGTGGGATTCAATTCGAAGCCCAATCATTTAAAAAACGTTTTTTTTAATTATTAAAAAAACCTTGTACAAAAAATATATTTAATCAAAAATTATAATTTAAAAAAAGTATTATGACGCATTATTATTCACTATTTCAATGACTGTTATTGAAAGAAAATTGAATATCGTTGTTTGAGTGTGCGCAGAATTTTATCTTCATAGGGCCGTTGACCAATCGTGACAAACTGTCGTTTTACTAAACCGTGACGATTCAAACAAGAAACCCATTTACGTAAGTGGCCTTCACAAATAGCTATAGTGAAAATTGCTATAGCTTTCACGTCGATTCTAGAAAAATATTTGACTTATACATGCCGCTGCGCATGATTCAATTAATGAACAAATCGTTTTTTATTCAACAGACAGACAGGGGGAAGGAGGCTCCCTGATGTTAAGTGATACCGCCCATGGACACTCACATTGCCAGGAGCCTCGCAAGTGCGTTGCCGGCCTTTTAAGAATTGGTATGGTCTTTTCTTGAAGGACCCTAAGTTTGTCATTCGTAGTTTATCGTTCTTAAATGCCCCGTCGTAATCATACAACCATTGCGCATGCGTCGGTAATTCTTTTTGGAATTTTTAACCATCCAAGGAGCATTTTATTGAGCTGTGAGTCATTTATAATGCATAATATAATTCCGTTCAAGAAAGTGTAACTGTCCACACCCTTGACAAAAACAGATGTTTGCCTTCATAAATAAACTGAAGCGGAAGTTTTTAGTGCAATTAATAATAATTATGCGCACTTGGTTATTCATATCGACATTGATAGGTATTGATATGGTTTGGTAAGTATAAGATGATTGCGGTTCCGTTTTTGAATTCCATTGATTTTTAAAGCATTTTACTTCATAATGAACGACGTTCCATTTTTAACTTCTAAACGTTGTTAAATTTTTACAAATAAGTCTTGATTTTTTTTCTCTACTTGGTATAGATATATTACAAAATTTCGTCCATCAATATTACAAAATGTATTTTTACATTTAATCCTACTAGTAGTATCTATGATGTGTAGAGACATATAAATCGCTTATTCTGGAATCTTTGAAATTACACTTGGAGTAAAATATGATGGTATAAAAGTTAAGTTTGAATTAACAATCTTTACTAAGCGTGGGACCTTGCAGTTTATTGTTTATCAGAATGCCAAATTTTAAAATGACTTCTTGTCGTAATTTGGCGCAAACCAACAATTAAACGAATTGTGTTTAAAATGACATATTTATTTGTTCAGGGCGTTTCAAATTAAAAAAAACATGCTTGATGCAAAATAATATATCGAAATATTCTTAAAGATAATTCGTTCAAGCAATGACTAAAATTTCAGTGAGTATGCTAAAGAATAAAAATATGCAAATTAGTACATATACTTAATTATTGTGAGAGATATCGAGAACTCTTGGATGCGGACAAGGCTACGCTGATACCTGGTCCCGCTTCAGTGATTCCGGGGGGTTTTAGTGGTTATACACAGTAGCGAGTCCCACAGAACCCATCAGCTCAAAGCAGTCGCGTTGCCTTACACATTTCCCCACGAAAAAAAAACTCTACTATTTATATGAAAATGACTTGAGATTCTAAGAATTGTATCTATATGAAACTGGCACTATTTAAACCAACATAATTTTTGATCGCGGAATCTTAACCTACTATTTATAAAAAAACCGCTAAAATACTGTTTATTAAAAAACTCGGTAGGATATTACATGGCGCATTTTCATACAACCGTCCATGCTTTATTTCTCGTTTTTCGCCACTTTAAATAATTGTCCTTGTTCCAACCGGATGTTTAAATCATAAATGGCAAATTTTCCTGTGCGTATTAATTTTTTTAATATATCACACGTAGAAAATAAGATTGCCATATTCATAATCTGTTGAGTTACACTCTATGAGGACAAAACATTAAAAAGACAGACAAACGCCACTGTCTCCTTAATAAACATCTCTTTGTCCTTCGCGCGACATAACACCCCCCCCCACTGTATCACGTGGCTGTGGCTTCCCAACGAAGCCTGCGAAGTGCCCAGGAAACTTCTAGAAGGAGCTAGGCTGGTTTAATTTGCCAGAGCTTAACGCACAACGAACCAAATGGCATCTAACTGCGGAAACTGGATCCACACCACATTACAAGACAGACAAACATAATTGTATCTTTCATACATCATCATACATTACCTAGTAACAGTTTTATATAGTTTACGTAATTCGTCACCGCTTATCAGTTGTAAATTAGTTTTAAAATGTGTTACCTCTTTAACAAGTTTTAAATCACAATTAAATGGCATGCTACGTGAAATTTTCCGCGTCGATAAAATTCCACAAGACACCATAATGGTCAGTGTTGAGTTATTAACGTACGTTGTAGGTCATGGACGCTGCAACAATGCAACTCGTTTTCGAGATAAAAATTTAAACAAAAAGACAATTTTGCATCGAATCTAATCAGATAAAAATTTGTAAGCATTGGTTCGCGTGACGTCGACCTTTTTTTTCAATTTGTAATCTGTTGAAACAGTTGCGTCGTGGCGGAGTTCGCCTGTAAACGCGCCAGCGTCGCGCGTATTATCAATTAATCATTGTTCCATTTAAAATTACGTTGACGATATGGACTTTATCGCTCGATAATACTTTTGATATTTGAAGAATGTTTCAATTTGAATTCCTGAAACGCTGGTACCATGGTGCGTATAGTGGGAAATAGTGTAAATTTTAGTGTACACTGAATAATTGTTGGTTATGTGTCTTCAGATGGCGATAAGGAGTCTGATGGCCCTTCAGAAAGCGGCGATAACACGTCGGAATCTACTCAAGGGGCACCGAGCGAGCCAGCGCAAGAAAAAGGTACTACAATTGTCAATTAATTGGTAATTACGTAAAAAGTAATTATGCGAAACTAAATGAATAATAGCTAGATAATTAGGATCCAATGCCGTGGCTATAGTGTTTTGTTGTTCTGCAAATTGCGCGCAATGACATTTAGATTATATTTTTGTTATTACGTTTTTACTGGAATCTTAAAAATATTTAATACATTCTATAATTTCATACAAAAACCGTGACATACTGAAAACACAATAACGAGGTTTACTTGCTCAAGGTTTCGTTCGCCGTCTGTTTAGGTGTTACTGATAAAACGCAGCTTTATGTTTCTAAAGTATTTGTAAATAGTAATTCAATTCTTATTAAGGGTTCTAAGGGATGCGTGTCAAAGTACACAAATCTAACGGAAGTTAAATTTTCTTAACGAAACTTACACTTAACGAAAACGTCCTAGAGTTCGATTCTAGAAGCAATGGCCGTTTTGTATAGAATTTTCCAGATTTCTGAAATGTATGTCCCAATAACCTTTTGGTATCTGACACGCTTATAAGTGAAGGAACGCACTCGTGAATCTTCTGGCAGTGTATGGACACTGCCAGAAGATTCACGAGCGCTCATGGGAGCGGCGATGTCATTTAACGGCGTCACCTCCAGCCAGTTTGCTTATAAAATAACCCTGAAGGATAATTCTTTAAATTAAAAAAGCAACAGTAATAATAATGAATCAAAATTGTAATTAAGAAAAAAACAAAACCAATTGTTTTGGAATTTACTATTAAGTTTGTTATGGAAGACCTGAGAACTCTGCCACATGTATTTTTTACACGCTTTATATTAGCTTCACCTGTATGTATGTATGTAACCGACTCCTTCGGACTCGATTTTGACCCACTTTTAACGGACAGATTTAATTCAAACTTTGCGCACCTGTCAAAGATCGATGACAATGCAATAATCCGAAAAAAAAAATAAAAAAAATATCGATAGACGAAAAATATGGCACAGAGCGCCCCACGCTTTTTCACAATAATACCAGTATTTTTTTTTCATTACCATGTTCAGCCTAAATTAGGAATTATTTTTCACTTTTTAGTTTGATGTGGTTTAAAAGCGTGTTTTTTTAGTTTTTTTAAACTATTATTTATTTTTTTACTAAAAAGGTTCCTTAATACATTGTTATATTGAATAAACACATTTTTATTTTTTTCAATAATTTATAATTGACGATTATATAAAATGCCATGTGGAAGAGAAATTAAATTACGACATTACCTATTGTTGTTTTGTTATCGCTATGCGTGAAGGAAAGTTATCGCCGCTTTCTCACCATAAACCTCTACAGTGTTGCATGTGAAATATGGAATTTTAATCAGTTTTTAAATGAAAAGTTAGTATTCATATATTTCATTAGTTTACATAAATGTTATGGTCAGTAATATTATCCGATATAAAGCGATATAATAATTATTATCCAATAAGTTTTAGTCGAATTTTAGTTATCTATATATTGATAATATTGTGTTGTTTATAATAAAAATAAAAAAAGCTTTAATTTCGGAGAAGTTCCTTTTTCTTACACACAATAAATTCAAAACAAACTTCAGTTCGTTTGCCGATCCCGACAAAGGTCTCCTCCATTCCATTCCGCCCTTACTCGCCCCACTCTTGACCAAACCTTGCCGGCAACCAGTTTTATTTCATCATCCCATCTCTTGTACTGTTCGCCTTCTTTATAGGTAGCAACTCATTATAGTCTCCACTTCTCAACTTCTCGCAAGGTGTGACCTGTCCACACTGTCCTTTCGAATACTCTTTGTGATGTCCTCTATCCTTGTCGTGTAAATATTTATAAGCCCTTTTTAAATATAATATTTAAATTTAATTAAGTATAGAACACTTTAATCAAATTAATTATTCGATGTTTCAGAATTGTTGGACAATTTGAGGCCGGGTTCACCCGAGGCGCCGACCAGCAGTGCTCCACAGAGGTTCTTGAAGATCAATGTGCGACACATTACTGATGGACAGGTATATTTTACTTTATCTCTTGAATATGACGCTAACGCTTTTAATAGTCTGTAAGAGTGACCGTAGATTGTAATTCTGAAGAAATTTGTGTGTTCTATTGAAAAGTGTGTTGAACATTCTTTTAATCTATATTGATAGGGTTGAAGGGTTGACCCTTTCTCCCAATTACCGAGGTTGGTCCGTTGTGCGTACTAATCTATATTGATTTACATATATTCTGTTCGATTCCTGGTATATAAGATAACAATTTGGGTTTGGTTAGCACAGAAGGCCTATAATGAATTTGTCTTACGACAAAATCATCAATCATATAGACATTCAATCAATCATAAATCCAATCAATCAATCGATCAATAAGCGACCTACCTGCACTTTTGTAAAAAATATTGTACATTTTGTTAGCAACTAATATTTTTATTTTATATAGCTTATTTTCAAATAATTTCATAGCACGCTGTACATAACTAACCTACTCTTAAATTACGAAAGTGAATGTAATTCTTTGAGAAATAAAGTATCTTTGAACCGAAGTGATTTTATTTACAGGGAGTTGTATCCGGAGTGCTCCTTGTCACACCAAACGCAGTTATGTTTGATCCAAACGTTTCCGATACACTGGTGATGGAACACGGCCCTGAATCGTACGGTGTAATTGCGCCAATGGAGTACGTTGTGAATGCGGCCATATTTTATGATATTGCGCACATGCGCACGCACGGGCCCGATCATAATGCGCACAAGTTAGTATAAATTAAAATTATTTTATTTTGTTATTTAATTCATTATAATACATTCTCTTCAAATATGAACTTTTTCAATTAAATATACTTATAGCCCTAAGTCCTGCCTGCGGACACATTGTAAAATACACTTTATTTCTAAGTAATAAAGATGCAATTATAATTTACTACAATATTTGCCGATAGTGGTCGTGGCTCATTTTCTGTCGATACAAAGCAGGAAAATTATATTAAAGTATGTTTGCCTCACTATGAACACCGTTAGTTAATCGAATTTCACGCTTATATGCCATTGTTTTTGCAATAAAATTATATAAATATCTGTATTACAGAGTGGAGCAAGCTGAAATATATTATATGAATAAACCCGAGCATTCACCTGGCAAGGACTCACTTCTAGTCAAAGTAAGTTCTTTACATAATAGATATCAGTTTTGATATCTATTTGTTGTAAAAAAACTACAACTACAACCTTATTTAAGTCTGGGTCTCAGATTTTTGCATTTGTTTCGTGATCACTTGTTTTTTAGAATAGGCAAGAAGTGGGTGATCCGCCTTCTGTGGCTGACTTACGCCGTCCCCTTTAAGGCCCGGTTTCCTCACGATGTTCTTCACCGTACGAGCGAGTGTTAAATGCACGTAGACAGAGTTCATTAGTGCACAGCCGAGGTTCGAACCTACGACTTCAGAGAATCAGACGCTGAAGCCACTAAGAGTTCTCTCTTCAGAGTTTGCTCTCTTCTGGCTCAAAAAATCATTAAATATGAATTTGGTAATGAAAGTCATTAATTTTTATGGCACAACCATAACTTTAACCTAACAAAAGTTACTTATTTTTAAAAATTATCTCCCTTTCTGAATTTAATACCCTAATCCTAAAAAATACTATTGAATGTACTTATCATGTATTTGCAAATAAACATATCAAATCCTTACAAAGTCTCCTAATCTTTTGCTATGTATGTATAAGATTTAAAAATTGTTATCCTGTTTTTCACGCGAATCCTGCTGGGGGATGAGAATGTAAAAAATATCGACAGTGACTTGATTGTGATTTATTTTATATTTCTCTTTTGTTTCTTTTTGGTTTTGATTATTGTTTAAGAGACCAGAACCTCCAAGACTGTTTCTTTTCCCAACATATTGTAATGCTGCATTTTTCTTTGTTGATCAAAAGCTACAACTAATTGACGTTTATAAACATTTAAAATATTTAAAGGTCGTTTAATCTTTAACCAAATAGTTAAATTATGTACATGTTTCAGGACGAAACGTTCCCCGAGCTGCAGGCAGCCAGCGGGGACGGTGAAGGGGGGGAAGAACGACCTGCTTCGACTGAGGAAGAGAGAGGTGGAGCAGCCTTCCCCAAAGCCTTTGAGAGGGAGTTGGTCACACCAACTTTACAGGTAACAGGTGTACAGCATTTTAGAAGTTTAAGAATTTATAGTCAAATTTTAGTGAACAAAGAATGATTATGTTATTTATATTGTTTCACTACTAATGCATTAATAATATTTATTTGTTAAGTTTTTGAAAAATATTATTTTTTGAGTATTGTTGTACGTTGTTTAATATAATATGTTTTATTTTATTAGCACCAAACAGCCGAAGAGAGGCGGAAGTCTTTGCTAGACCACCACTGGGCTATCCCGAGTAAAGACAGAATGTCTATTGATCAAGGAAGTGAGGTTGGTATATATACATTATACATACTAATAATCCTTATACTTATCCAGAGCTTGATATATTCGGTAGTGGGCTGATCAATTTTAAAAGAAGCCTTGTTAAGCCAGCCTTGTAGGCAATTGCCTATCCTACTTCATCCACCATTTTTATTCAAAATCTAGAATTGGAAGTGTAATTTGTATTATTTTTATTTTTTGTAACATTTATGTTTACCAAAATGGTCATGTATTTTATAAAATATAGCTTTGTAACATATACTGTGAATATAGCATTATATATTATGTGGTTAACTTTAATAAACAAATAAGTTATAAAAACGGTATAACGAGAATGCATTGAATAAAACACTATTTTGACCGGATTGAAGTTATGTATTATTATAATAAAACACTATTTGTTATGATAAGTACATAACAAATAGTGTTTTATTAAATGAATAAAAGTTATGTTAATCAGAGAATGCATTGAATTCTTAAATACATATATGTTAGTCCACATTTTTACTCATGAAACAATAAACTCGAAATGAAGTTTTCCGTTACAAGTACATTAAGAACCGTTACAAGTACAACATAAAGAATTTCTGTAACAGAATTCTAATTTATTTCAGTATTACTTAGCATGTAACACTGCCAACTTAATTTATCTTTTGTTTTACAAAGTTAGCTAATTGATAAAAAAAATTGCAGGTATCATCAAGCGCAGACCATGGTAAAGAAGAGAGCTTGGAAGTATCAATGGCAGAAGGAGTGGAAGGTGCTGAAGGCTCCGATGTTGACCGTGCAGCCTCCGCTGAAGGAGATGATGCCGCTCATCTTGTGAAACTTTCCTACCACGATTCTGGGATTGATATACGCGATCCAATACTGCATGTGACACCAGCTAATGCTAAAAAGGTATTTTTAAAAAGAAAATTCTTAGTAAGAGAATCTATATCGAATTCACTTATCTTGGTGAGCACTTTGTTCAAGAGTTCAAATACTTTGTACCGAAGAAGGAAATTTTCAATTCGACATGCAATTATTTGCAGAGAAATCTGAAATCTTTCATATAACACGTCACATCAGATTTCTATTATTAAATAAAAACAGGGAAAATTGTCGCGTATTAAATCCGTAAAGTGATATAAAATAGTTAAAGGACTACTAAGTAAAGCAGTTTGAGCTTACGATTACAACCTCACAACGAAACAAGTATAAATGGTAAAATACATTTCTTGAAAGGTACTTTACTTATTTATTTAACTATAAAGAGATTAATTTAAAGTATTTAAAATATTTTTCAATAGCTTAACATTATTCTGAGATTGTGTTAAATTTAATGTTAATCTTTTCGTTTATTTTATTAAGAGTAGCTGATTGCACTTTAGATGTTTATATTTGTAGCATATACGTAAACGCAAACACATTTGTGTGAATTAATTGTAGTTGCCTATGCACAAAACTACTATGCTACACAATTTAACCCCTTTCTTTGACTTTGTCCCTCTTTATTACTACCCTACCATAAACTACATAGTCGTATGAAAGGTATTCTGAATATTTCTAGGATGTTCTTGACGAAGACTATTACCACGAAATAGAGACAATATATGAGAACCCGGAAGAGTCGCTTCAGGACATTAATTGTGATGTCACGTACGAAGCTAATTTCTTGAAGTGTTTTCTTGAACACGATTTTGATTTATTACATTCCACTGGTGAGGTGAGGTACATTTCTTCAGCTGGTGGCTGGGTCAGGATATCTTCTAATTCTCTCTTTCTATTTCTCTCGTCTGTCAGCTGTTTTTGGTCCTTCGGCAAAGGAAGTGTTTACGAATTTCTATTTGTGGTTTTGGCAACTTAGGGTTCTTCTGTTGTTTCTTCCTTATTCGTTTATTGTTTTCGTTTAAAATTTGTTACGTTTATTCTAGTTATAAGTGATCGATATAATCATAGAATCCAACTGGATTATAAACAGGTTTAAATTTTAATTGATTTAATTCTACCGTGGAATTTATAAATAAAACGTATTTGTTTTAATGTATGTTGATACATGTTTTTATCAATTTAGTATTTACTGTTTTTAGTGGTCTCCAATAATTAAACATTCTTTTTTATTCAAGAATTTTTATACAAATATGAGGCCGTTACCAATACATATAAATAACTGCAGGTATACAGCGACGCTGATATAGTACTATCTGCTGACTGGGTCCCACCGGTGTGTTTACCGCGCACGGAGCCGCCCCTTTCCGCCCCACCTCTCGGTGAGAACGACCGCGCACAACGCAAACCAGCAGCTGTCTCTTTCTCGCTTGACGGAAATCAGAAGGATGATCCTTCTAAGCCGGATAAGAAGAACAAGGTTTGTTTAGAATTTATTTATAATAATTGCCTTTCGAGCTATACTACTACTTTTTAGGTACCTTTTAGATTTATAATTGTAATCTTCATTTTATTATATCTAATTTTCTATTAAATTAGACGTTTGTTTTTAAATGGTATACGACAATGCAATAAATTAGAATGACCATTTTAATAAAAGCACCCTGTCTTTCTGTATTTTCGAAGTGAAAATTCTTTCATAAGGGTAAATTTTTTACGGATGAAACGCAATAGGAACAATATTAGCGTCACGAAAATGTGCGGCGTTTTTGTCGAAAAAAAGGGAGAGAGCGATTGAGAGAGAGTGAGAAAGGGCGAACGTACCATGAAGCAAATAGCCATGGAGCGAGAGTAGGGAGCAAGCAAGTGCGAAAGATTGAGAGAGAAAGTGAGATAGAGCGAACGTCGCATCACTCACAGTGCCAAAAGTTAGGATACTGATAATAAAATATAGGGTAATTATATAAGTTTGTTGTTTACTTTTAGATGTTAAAGCGTCTATCTTACCCGTTGTCATGGGTGGAAGGTTTGACTGGTGAAGGACAGCCTACAGGTCCAGGCTCTCAAGGCGACTCGTTGCCAACGTCTGCTGACAGCCAACACTCCACCAGCGTCTTCTCCAAAGTATTTAACAGGTATATTGAGTTACTTATGTAAAAATGTCCCTTAATAATGCAGTTTCTTATTATAGATTATTCGACCGCCATAAGTGGTACGGAATTTTTACCCAATTAAGGTTTACAACGAATAATTTTATTTATAATGCTAATACGATGTATGTTGTTAATGTAAGTAACTGCATTAATTGTGAAAGTGTAAGTAATACTTTCCTAAGCCGATCGCATGAGTCGATTAATTGCGGCGGGATATTATTGGCTTTGTGCCGATTGATTTAAATTAATATGGCAATTCAAAATTTTTCCCTTGCTACCGTGGATGCTAACCGGGATCTTGTGAACTCCGCTCCGTTCATTGGTAGTTCGCCAATGAACCTAGTGGAGTTTGGTACTGGTTTGTTCCTGAGTAAAACTCCATCGGAGGAGGCGCCGCATGAGGCGCTGTCTGGGTATGTGCCCGCGCCAATATGTGTTGCCTTCTGACCCCTAGACCATAGTGACACGCTCCTTGACAGCTTTCGACCTTAGCATCCAAACCCTTAGCTCTTAGCCTATATTTCGAGATTGTTACATCATTGTTGAATTAGCTCTTAGACTAATCGGCTGTCATACTCGATGTTTACTTATGTAAGCTTAACGTGTCAGTGTGGTCAAAGAAGCGTCTTGTTCGTGACTTCACTTTCTTCACGTGTTTGGTCTCGTGTTGTGAATTTTGAAACACGCTATTCTGCTCTTAAAATTAATGTGAATTATGGTCAAAATAGCGTGGATTCAAGGTGATCTGTGCTTATCTTTACGTAAACTGCTATATAGCATGCGGTATTTGTGTTAGGCGTTAAAGAATAGAAAAATTTAGATCGTGTTGTTTTGTCGAGCACAGCTGTAGCGGTCTGCCGATATCACGCCTTTAATTATGATATTTGTAATTATCCTGTTACCCGAAATGTATGAATACTGTCATTATTTACGTTTTAAAATATTGTATATATAGGAAATGTTATTAAATGAAGAGGTATCATTAGACTTTAGGGGACTGCAATTATTACTTACTATATTATTATATGTTAAGTAGCCACCACTGCAATTCAAGGAAATTTAATTACAAAAAGAAATTTGTTGAACTATGTAAACCGTTTTGGTTAATAATTGATCTATGTAGATTTGGCATTTAAATATTTTTATTGGCTGTTATTTCACACATTTCCGGTAACGCATTGCACCAATTCTAGCTATTCAATTATTAAAAATTTCGCTCTGGCGTGATTTCTCGGCCTACTGCTATTCCAGTAAACTGTTTCATTAAAGTTACCTCTTGAATAGTCTTCATCATACACCTGTCTACCACATTGGCACTTTATGTTTCGTTAAAGAGAGCATGGGATGTTATGTAAGGTATAATCTTATTTTTTACAGGAACTAATCATTTTTATCAGCATTCTTAAGATATTTTGGTAAAGAAAGAAATTTTCCGACTTTTAAATGTACTTCAAGTAGCTAGTGAATATTCTGTCCTTCTCTTATAATAATATAAAAATCGTGACAAAATATTCTATAAATCATGCGTTCATTGTTAAGATCAAAATCTATGAAATGATGCGCAGTTAAACGCATGTCACTAGACATTTATCATAAGTATTGTTTTTTCTATGAAAATATTATGTTTGTGTAAATATGACTTGTGTTTATCTATCTTCAAAAGCTGTATGCAAGTTTAATACATGAAATATCACTTGAAATTGGGTATATCTTTTATTCACACACTAAAGATACAATTCACAAATACGCTTGTAAATACAGGCGCAGCTCCTTGGGCGGTTTCGGACGTTCTCACACCAAAGCAAACATATTGCCTCAACCGAAACTCGACTACCGAAGCATGGTGTCCGTTGATGACATGCCAGATCTATTTGCGTCTTTCGATAGTATGTATTTATTGTTTTCATATTGTAATCAAGTCTAACTTTAATTATGATTTATTCTCTGACTGTGTGTATATACAATCGTAAAACAAAAAAAAACAGTGCCGCTACAACCTTTGTAGATCTGGGCCTCAGTTTTGTGTATCTGTTTTATGATCATTGGTCCATCTAATAGGCAAGTAGGTGATCAGCCTCCTGTGCCTGACACAGGCTGTCGACTTTTTGGGGTTTAAGGCAAGCCGGTTTCCTCACGATGTTTTCCTTCACGGTTCGAGCGCATAGGTATATACAAAGTCCATTGGTGCACAGCCAGTCGAACCTGCGACCTCAGGTGTGAGAGTCGCACGCTGAAGCCACTAGGCTGCTGACGTCACGCTTTGTAATATCTTCCAAAATATCATACAGTTTTTAGCTCAGTATTCAAATAGGTGATCAGCCAGAACCTTACCTAATCCAATAAAGCTACTTTCCAACTTAGGTAGGTTGTACGAATGAGACGTTTTATTATTAACATATACTAATCTATACTATCCATACAGAATTGATCCCGCGACCAGCTCGCCCAAGCGATGACCCACCATTGTACCTCCGCTTGCGCATGGGCAAACCAGCGGGACGCCCTTTGCCGCGATCAACACCGCTTATGTCCTACGGGCGGAAACGTATGAAGCCGGAATACTGGTTTGGAGTGCCCAGAAATAGGTAATTTTGCTAATATAAAATTATCTTCTTTTAATACTACCTACTGTCAGCTACAGATAGTGCAATCTGAAATAGGTCCGTTTGAAATAGGAACGCATTTTTATTTTTTATTTTACCAGCTTCAAAGGTAATATACGTTGTTAGGTTATACTATTTATTTTTCAAGCTCACTTCTTGTATGCATTTTTACACATTAGAACTTTATATTCATTTTATTTATTATTAAATAATGAATGGAGTCGGTACACGGAGAAATTACGACCAATTTGTTTCATCGTCACATACATTTCTGTTGCGCAAAATGAAGTTAAATAAAGAAATTCTTATCTGAGCCCTCTTTGTTATAGGTTTGAGTCGCCATATAATAATATTCTGTTTGCTCTACATTCATAGATAGTATAATCTAAATTCCAGTTCCGGAAACAAAGCGTGTCAGTATAGAAGCCACAGAACGATTACTCTTACTATGCGTACAATGCTCAGTATAACAAAAAATATTAAAAATATATTCTAACAAACAAATTTGTTTGAAATGTTTTGAGTAAGTAGACTTAACATCAATATTTATTCCTATGACGCATTAATAAACGACTTCGCGACTCCTTAATAACTTCGTTATTGCAATCATAAAAGGATGATGATAATTGTAACTAATTAAACGGTTGACAAGTGCAAATTGTAGGCTTATAAGCATGCATCAATATTTTGTAATGAATATTTTAATGCTAGCAGAAACTTTAGGCAGAACAACGTAAACTATAATTCAACGCTAATATTTTTTTGATACGTACTTAAAACATTGGTACATTATTAATACCTAAATTTTAAATATTTTTGCCCTTAGCTTAGACATTCATTAACTTTACAAATTGGGGATTATTAAAAATCAAGTTGTATAATTTATAAGCCTATTGCGTAATGGTAAAACCCGTATAGTGGCCTACTATTATAATAACTAAGTTTTTCCAATGCATAAAAGAATGTCTACTAGAGGCGATGTTAAAAATTATTTTGTTATTTCTTATATAAATTCGTGAGCTACGAAACTAGAGGGTTTAAAAAAAGATGTGTGTGTACTTAATGTACACGCGTTAGAACTTCTTTGGCGTAACAAGATAAAATCTTTAAAAAAAAATATTCTACGTTTGTAGAAACAAGGTACACTAACAATAGAAAAAAGGTATATAATACATTGAAAGTTTTATCTTAACGCATTACCTAGTTAAATAAAGTTTATTTAAATATCGCAAAAAAATTATTTCTACATAATTAAAGAAATGGACATTTTTTATTTTAAAATGTTGACAATGCTAACTTGAGGGTGTCGGTTTTTTGTGACGGTGTGCACGCGCATCGTGAAACTTTACTCTCATCATTTTTCCCTAACGCGCCAAAAGAAGTATAGCTTCAAACATCATAAAGGTAACATAGGGACGTGCAATTATTTTGCTAGAACTAATAGGTTGTTATCTTTCAGGGTGGACGACTTATTCAAATTCCTAACACATTGGGTCCCAGACCGATACGGCCCTCTTGGGGACGTGTCCGCTAAAGGCTATGAGCTCATAGACAGCGACACCGAGTGGGATGATGACGAAACCAAACCAGGACAAAAGGTAAAGATTTATCACAAATATAGATCTTGTGTTTACAGCTTATTCGGAGTCGATACTTAAAGATTATATGTTCTTCGTTTGACAAAAATCGAATGGATTTTGACATCCGAAAGTCACAGTTGGCGCTATATTTCAACTGAATTTTTCCCCTAACGCCGCGTGTTATAAATATGATGCTAATTTTAATGCCCTAAGAAGTTGGTGTTTGACACACACATTACACACTTAAAATGATAATTTTGTGTGTTTTTGTGTGTGTGTTTCGAGAGTAATAAATGTTATGTCTATGTCTATATAAGCTATATTTAAATAAAACATTCAATAAACTTAGTATATTAATGTGGCAAGAAACAGTGTTAAAGAAATAATTTTCTCTAACAAAAATTATAGATCATCTGATATAATAGAGAAGCACTCGGAATAGATCGTTTAACACGAAAGGTGTTTAAGATGATTAACCGTCTGGAAAAATGGAACACACGCGCTACTAAATGCTTGCGATGATGTACAGTTTTCACCGGTTTCCTTAAATACAAATTTTACTAAAACTGTGTAGGTATATCGTGTTCAATAAGAGACTGGTTGCGTTGGTTTTATTTAATTTTGTAATGTTCGCGTAAATAAAGACAATCTTAAAAAAATCCTATGTATTTGTGAAATTAGTAACAAAATTAAAAAAATTGTTACAACTGCAAAAGTGGAGTTCATAAAGGTTAATTTATTGAGACGTTATATATGTATTTACAATAGATAAGTACGTCAAAGTTTTAGAATTTATATTATGTTTTATATAATTTTAAGTTGATGCCGTAGATCGGTGGCGGTTGTTGTAGATATGTTCAGATATATGTTAAATGATAAACTTTGTTTGAAGCTGGGTGCCAACTGGCTTGAATTGTTTAAAATATGAGCTTATAACTAACATTAAATTAAGGGAAGTGGGTTGCGACGCTAGCAAAAACTAATTTGAGGGCTTCTTAAATCTAAGTGACACTTACTTATTGGACATTATCGGAAACGAGAATGTTAAATTACAATTTATGAGTGTGGTAAAAACTAAAGGGTTAATTTTGGCTTCAAGTGTGCGATGATTGCTTACATTTTGATTACGCTTTTAATTATTAACTAAAATAAATATGTAACTTGACTAATGTTAGGTTACATAACTCCGTTTTCAATCAAAAAATTATCGCTTTTCAAAGTACAAGGCGAATAAATACACTTTTGCTGCTTCTTACATATAAAATATATTTAAATCAGTTATGTAATGTGTTAAAAATTGAATTTTATTTTGATCAATCTTTACAAGAACATGTGCCTAGCTAATTCTATCTTGTTAAATCAACAGTAAACTGACACGCGACTTATCGCGACATCACTCATCAAGATAACTCACGATATTTATGTCTTGATTGTTCATTAATATTCGTTATAATAATGTCCTTATACCATACGCGTGGTATATAAAATAAAAAAAGCCTCTATTCGAGTACGATAATAAGGATTTAATTAAGTTTGTTATTTATTTATTGTTACGACCTCCGACGGAGTGAAAGCCTCCTCTAAATTCTTCCATTTCTCTCTCATCTTCGCTACTATTTTCCAATATCTTCCCGCTCTCTCTTATTTTTCATCATCCCAACTTCCTGGTAGGCGTCCTCTCTTTTTATTCCCACTGGCGTATTACAAGTAGGTACGCGTGGTACATACAAAATTTAATTAATAATGTGTGAATTTTGTGTATCTTAATACTTTGTTTTTTTTTCAGGAACGAACTGGAAGTAGTGGCGATGTTTCTGATCTTACAAGGGAATCATGGGAGGTGAGCATATATCTTATATTTAATATCCTACTAATTGACTATTATTATTTAACAAATAACGCTTTAACACGTCATGTCACATTCCACATTACAGTCAATTAACACAATATATCATTTATATATTTGGATGATTTTATTATTGAGCGTTTTTGCATATTTTTCACTAATTGCGTACGTACAGCGCATATGGGGTATTTTTGGATATTTTTTATTAAATTGGAAAATGTTTTCGGCTTATTCTTGCTTATTATTTTTTAAACTAAAACATACCAAAGGACACTTTATTGTAATAAATTATTACATTATTGAAACCTTTATATAACAAATAGGTCGCGCATTAATCGATATAACTATAAAACAAACATTGATAAGATTATAATTTAATTGTTACTGAGCGCTCTCTTTGTTGTTTGATAAAAAATTTATATAACAAAGATATTTTTATACGGTATCACAGATTTTAAACATCAACACAGTTTTACTCTAACAAGCTGACAAATGTACCCATAATTAAGTTAGATTGTTACCCACGGTTGGGACTATATAGCATCTGTAATAGACATTTATAGTCATGCCATTATATAAATTAATATACAATTAACACCGGAACTATGCGTAGCTGCTCAAGGCGCCCTACGTGAAAATATATTCGATTATGAAGAGCCAAGCCGAAGCGCTGGGCGACTCACTCGGAGAAGAACCTCAGCCAGAGGTATTGCCCGGTCAAAAATCGCTCATTGTGTTTGCACCATTTAAAAATCAAATATATAATAATAATGATGATTTTTGTTAATTTATTAATCAGTGAGCGTTTTTAGTGTCTGGGTACATTAGCTTCCGCTAGATCTATGTTAGTCACGAAATATGCACGACCGAAAATCGTCCGGAATGCGATAGCATGTTTTCGAGCACGTCAGGGCATATTTTTGTTCTAACGTCATAGTAACCTCTTAAGGCCACCATTGAGGTAATTACGTTGTAAATATTAATATTGAATTAATTTTATTGACGCTCCGTGCGCTGGCGCACGTGCGCCTTGACTTGCTCGATGTTATAGGTTATGCACATTAGAAAGATCCCTGTAGATGCAAGATAACCTCTCACGTTTTATTATCTTTAGGTGTTGATGAGTTATTATAAGGTTTTTACAATTTCAAAGTAAATTTATATAAAAAAATGTGGTAGTCGTGTTGTTTATAAATGTCATGTCATTGGTACAAGTATGTCTTTCGAACCGCTTCGTTAACTTAGTGGTAAAGCCCTTAGAATTATTATTGGCGAAAATATTGAATAAACTTGACAGATACCTCATGTTACACCACCATACAATCAGACCAAAGACATCGCTTACAAAGTCCTCAAGATGTTATGTTATTGTATTATAATTATTTATGTATATCTTATCTGTGGCTTAAAAGCAAATATTGAAACATAAAACTTGGTGAATGCATAAACAGATTGTTGTTGTTCGCAAAAGGAAGTGCTATTTACGTCTTGTTGAATTTAAATTGGCGATTAATTGCGTTTCATTGGGACTAAATTTATACCCGCGACATTTTCAAAAACGTCCAAAAAACGTTAATAACAATAATACAAACGAATTGATATGTAACCTTTTAACACATTGGGTTTCAGATCTTCGTCAATCTCTATTTCATTCATCATTCTTCTCTTCATTATGGTTCAGTCTTCTGTACTTTCTAACTATAAAATAAAATTAGCATCTATTACGTCCCATAGATCTTAACTCTCATTATTTTTTATGTATGTAGATAAACATAAAGTAACAATGGCCAGTCCTGTATATGACAACATAATGTCAGACAAATGAGTGAAAATCGCGAGTTGGAAAATACCGGAACTAATGTGATTTTATTGTGTATTTAGTTTTGATAAACAGCTTATTAACGTTTCTAATCAGGAAAATACACGTGAGTTTTTGTAATGTCATAGATGCACAATTTCCGAACGGTGTTTCTGAGGTTATTTACATACGATGGACTTACTTCCATATTATATTTATCACATATTTAGATCCTTAGCTCTCATAGTAGGTGTAATATAAGAATATAGTAATATAGGAATTGCCAACCAAATATTCAAATCAAAATATAATTTGTTCTTATTGGTAAGTTAATGTACACATATGAACATCAGTAATGCTTTTAAATTTACATTTACTGACTAGTTCCCGAATCAAGGGCGTAGAACGGAATAGAAGAACTGGCAATAAACTCTCCGTTACTCTTTTAAATCGTCAAGGTTTTTACACAATGTTTGTAAGCATGTGCAAAAAAATGTATATACACTACCAGTTCACTATCAAGGGAGTAGAGCGGGCGAGAAAAACCGGAAAGGGCGTGTTATATGGTTTTTAACTGTAATTTATTATCTTGTATAACGAGCTATAAAGAGTCACGAATGTTCTTTGGGACCTAATACTAACCGGTAGACGCTGGACGACCTTGCCCTTCAACTTTTGGGGTTATTCCACCGAATCGAACATCCTAATAATATGTAATAAACTATACTAAACTACTTTATTTAGTAAATTTGTCAAATCACGGATCCTACTTAAAACAGCTCCAATTTGTTTTCTACATATTTTCATCAGTCAGCAATGGTGTACCATGTAATAAGGTGGTGGCGCATCCTCTTTAACCCCATAGAAATTAATGAAATCATCATGATTTGTCAAATTAATGAAAGAAGGTACAAATTTTTGGCTTTAACCTAACCTAACCAGATCACAAACACCACTTAGAATTAACCTAACCTAATGTAATTCACTGCGACCCACTGGGAACTTAGACAATATCATTTATATCATGCATGTAAAATAGCCATGTGCCACCTTAATATTATTACTACATACAAAATTTGGAGCTGTTTGAAAGTGGAATTGTGATTCGACAAATTTATTTCACAATAACACAAAACACGAGAAAAATAAAAAAATAAGACAAAGCAATATGCAAATATGTAAATAAGCTGCTAAAAGCTGTTTCTTCCAGACAACCCAATAAATAATATAATAATATAAACTTAAAATTACTCTTAACTACTCAATATAAAAATACTTAATACATATAGGTAAAAATAACAAAGGTTTATTGGTACGTGTTGTCAATTGTCTGCGAGGTCTCCACGTCTACAGCAGAGCATTACATAATCGAAATTTACATATTACATACGTTGGCTTAATTAAAAATATCATGTTACATATTAAATGAAACTGGGTAGATATGATCGCACCAGTGAGATCGGGTTAATTTCATGGTGCACATTAATAAGTCATATTTTATTGTAAGAAACATGTGCAGTGGCATGTGATCTACTACATAACGCACTGTACTAGTAACAGACTGCAATATAATTATACTTACGACTTAAAGACATTGGAATGCTTTGAGAATGGACGTACCTATCAACGATAAAGTAGATTAACTCCATACATCTTTCATTTAATTAATTGCTACAATATACAATTACTCCCGCTCGTAGTAACGCCTTACAATTTTTGTGTACTTTTAATAATAATAATTTATTTATTGCATGAATATGGTACAAAAATGTGTAAGGTGGTACAATCGTATGTTCGCATATTCTGTCACACAAAATGGCGCGCAAATTTGTCTTAAGGAATTTTACATTATTAGTCAAAGTCAGTTCTTATATTATTTGTATCGTACTATACGTATCATATCATACTTTATTAAATATATATCAACTACACTGTCTCACCCAAATAATCATTTATTGAATAGTACGTAGTAAGTTTTGCAACCTCTACAATAATAATTGTTAAATTTCAAACAATTTACATATATATATAATGAATTATACACGTAAATCTCAGGAGGAATCTTAGTAATTTTCCAGTTAACGCCGGGGACGTCATTTGATAAGATGTGAGATTGTTTGGCATAAAAGCAATAGGAACAAGAACATTTTCGTGTTTATACATGTCGGTTCGTAATACGACATTAACGTAAGATATTTCGTATAATATAGTAATTAAATGTTTTTTTGCACAAAATAATGCAATATATTATATATATTGTTATAAGTTATAAGTTATTTATTAACTTTAAAGATAATCATAACTCCATATTGTTATTATGCTGCTAGTTACAATTTTGTCCTAAATATTATATTAGTAGGTTAGCTAAGAGTATATTAAATCATAAAATTAAAAAGGACACATGCAGTCCAATGCAATGACCCATGTAAGGGCAATCCAGCCTTCTCGATATTTATTCCCGGCATAAATGAGAATATGTAACTAACATACTTTAGTTATTGACTATATTTATCAGTAAAGATGCTTCAGATAAAGCATAAAGGAAAAAATGCACAATAAATATTGAACGAAACAGATCAGTGAACTGTGAACAGTGCTACCACATTTGCATTGTAAAGTGATATGTGTGTGTAATATATATGGGATAAAAGAATAAGTGTCCGGTTACATTTAATACTGTGGCGTGGATAGCCTGTAAACTTATTTAAAAGTCCCAACAATTGTGTCATGTTTCCTAGTCATATTGGAAATTAAGAATGTTATAAATTGATTGATTTTTATTAATTGTTCGTATTAGTCTTAGGGTCTGTTTCACTATGTACGGATAAGTTCCAAATATTTATTACTTATTGGTAGGATAAACACTATTGTTGCGTTTCACGACCGTCAGATAGCGCTATTCGTCACATAAAGTCCATCATAAGTTATGAGTCCGATGAAGTGTTAAATAGCAGAATTTATCTTCCAAATAATTTATGTGTTGCATAGCTATTTGGTACTGTATACATACATTGAGAAACAGACCCTTAGCCTCTAGGGCTAAAGGAATTCCAGCTTTTCTATTTTCTAAATTAACTATATCTATTCTGCGTTTAAAGCGCGACTATTTCAGTTGATTTATCATTTTTAGAGCAAACGTTTAAAGAAAGAATATACTCTTCCCTCAAAGGCTGGCAACGCACCCACTAAAATAGATATCCGTAGGCTCGATTGCTCTCCTATCCTATAAAAAAAATCTAAAATAATAATAATAAGTAACTAAAAAGTTTTCAGTTTGCGGAGGGTCTTTTGTGGAGACTCTTACAGTTCACTGATGTTTACGTTTATCATTTATATCAAAGCGCACTGCAATACAGCAGTGTTAGTACGTTAGTTAAGCAATCCTTAACCCTGAGTTCAAGATTTCAAAATCGACTACGTAGGTCTCTACCTACGTAGTATTACGCATTGCATGCTGATGATATGAATGAAATATCGATGAAATATAATTAGAAATCTGGTGCCAAGACTCATACTTATAGCGCTACTCGATGTTTGTCTTAAGAATGAAAATTAGAATTTCACTTCTAAGCAGCGTTGTCTTGGCTTCTGTTAATCTCGTATAATCTCGTTTTTAAATGAAAACTCTAGATTTGGGTCATGAATTATCTGTATTCTTTGGCTTAGAATATATTGTTCGAATTAGGGCTGGCGCAAGTGACCTACATTTCACAAAAAAATATTTGCAATTGTTAGATGTGCATTCTATAGATAACGCATAGCGTTGCGAAGTCGCCGTTTTTGATAGTGAAATTATGAAACTGGTAACTACTTATTCTGTAGTGAAGTAATCAGGCTTATAAGTATGAAGATAAGAGCTGGATTATACTATCTTTTGTTTATAAAGTATTACGAGATCCAATAAATCTCTACGCGTTGATATACGGGATAATAAATTGTGCGGTAGCCGCTGTCCGTTGTCAAGAACACTACCATAATATTAGTATAAATCCACTTGAAATGATACTTCCTCGTTTACGTATAACGACTTCTAATTAAAAACTTGCAGTTATAATTATAATTAGGTGTTTTATAGCGCAACGTGAACCTTTTTTTGTCGTGACAGTTGACACAAAAGAAGATGATAGATGTTACCGACGTTTTCTATAGTTTCCGTCTGCTGTTGAAAATGTACCTTTAAACCTCCTCGACTGTTCATCAATAAATATTTCTTACGCGCAAACACTCATTTTTGTGGTATTTTTTTTTTCTGCGGGCAATCAGCCCTAAGGCTATGAGCGAATTTGGTCTGTGGTGCTGTCATTTGGAATGACTTCCCATTGGAAGCATCTACTCATCTTCTTTCTAGACCTACTGCCGGTCTTTTAGGCCTAGAATATGGTGACATTATAGTCGACTCATATACTGTCTAATGGTGAGTTGGCGAGCGAGTTCGTTCGGGTGACAGATTAACCGCTCTTTGTATTTAGCTGCCAGTCTCCGGATTTCCTCTTTGATAGTTCTCATTTTAAGGTGTTCGTGAACTTCGTTGTTGGTTATGTACCATGGTACTTTTGCAACTGCTCTTAGGATCCTGTTCTGTTGTCGCTGGAGTATATTTATGTTGGTATCACTTGCGCACACACAATTTCACATTTTTATGGTAAAAGTAAAAACCTATCATAAACAATTAACGTAATCGTACAGAATTACCAATTGTCCTATAAATATCAAAGAAACGGATGCAATCTTAAAGGACATATGCAGGACTGAAACATCACTGACTTTACACAGCCATACATTACAATTTACTTGGTCACCCAATTCACCACATCAGAGGACCCAAGTCATCTAAACACGGAATGTTCTGAACTAATCTTTTATTTAATACATTTTCCTTCTTTCATTTTATTCAGTATAAAATGTCAAATTAAACAACATTAACGAATATATGTTAAAGGTAAACTTGTAATACGTGGCATATATAAGTTTTATACCTTTTCCGATTAAGACTGATTTTGACTGTAATGAATGTATTATTTGATCGATACAGCACTTTCATGTCCGGAACTTGTCACCTTCGATCGTATGTCAGCCGGTAAGTAGCCACTGTTCATTACAATTTACAATATCGTCATTGGTTGCCCATATTTTTTTCACCAGCCCCTCACAAAAATGTTCTACTTGCAGCATGTTAACCTGTAAAATGCATTATTGTTATGAAGGAAATTGTTATTATTATTAATTCGTCAACATTTTTTTATTTTCTGGTCTGATATCGGTTCGTGTCTTATCTGTGAGGTCAATATTTTATTACCTTGTTTATATTACGACTATCAAGGATTATTTTAAATATATAATTGTTTACAGTTTAAAAGTTATTGAGACGATGTATACTGAATTAATTTGCTTGCCAATGCTCGAGTCGGCGAGCGTGCATTTTTTGTCGTCATAGTGGCGGGGTCGCGCGTACCGCGATTCTTTCTTTAGCCTCTAGCTACTAGCTAGTACCCAACTCGCTTTGGTGCGCCGTACTCGCCTTACGGTCGCATTACGAACATTCTTTAAATATCCTCACGTTTATACAAACGGCAGTGAACACAAAACGACAAAAACGTTGTTTATAAGCAAAGCGGGCGTGCAAATCTCGAAACAAAACATAATTTGAACACGCATCGCCACGGACGTGGGTGTATGTTGTTTTTGTGATATTCGTGTGCGTTTTATATGAGGAAATCCGTTTAAATGCAGACTATGAAATGGATAGAGATGGTGCGGCTCGGACCGACGTCGCCAGATAAGCCGCCAGCATACGAACCCGAAAAGGTGAGGCAAAAGAAAGTGTTAGAAACTTTCTTATCGCACTATTCAAGCGATGTTACTTCGCTAATAACCGTTACCATGCCAACGTTACGTTTTCGTTAACGAAACCTATAGTAATTAATACTATCATTCGTTAAAAAGGAACTTTAAACAACCTTAAGCTTCGAATGTCATACTGGTCTTCCGTGGTGTGGACAAAAATAATGTAACCTACTTCTTAATTAGCTTTAACAAAAATTTACCTACATTTCCTGTATGTAAGAATTAAGTGCAAATTGCAGTCACTCTGAGTAACTGGTTTAAGATGTGGACGTAATTGCTAAATAATTGGTATATTATAATACCAGAATAACTAGTAATGATGGGGTCTACTTAGGTGATTAATGTTTTTGTACTACATATTAGAATTCTAAATGTGCATTATCACCGTATCGTGTCTATAATATTGCACAGTATTGCATAGATCACGGCAGGTGTTGGGTGAAAAATTCTTGACAGTCTAGAAATACACTTAACAGAACATATGCGATGTGTAGTTTCTAAAATTAGAGTACAAAAGTAAAACTGTAATGCAATCACTACTAAAGGCCAATTCTTAATAGGCTGGCAGCGCACTCGCAAGTCCTCTGGCATTGAGAGTCCGCTTAACATCAGATGAGCTTCCGCCCGTTTGTCCTGTTCTATAAAAAAAACTAAGAAATTATAAACAAAGCAGTCCTTATATGTTTAATAAAACTTATCAGAACGTGGTACTTACACATCGATATAGGTTCCACATACAATAATTGAAAAAATCCAGAAATATATACTTAATGCATTATTTCCGCTTAAGGAAATCGAATTTCGAAGTGTTTTCAGGCATTGTCTTGTTAATTCATATTAATCGTGATGTATTGTGTTCTTCAACAATTCTGAGAACAACTTGGAATAATTACAAGTTAAGTTAATTCAACTACATTACTGCGAGGACAATCGACAATTCTCGAAAACATAGGGTTTAGGGCTCGACAGATATAAAAAATGTTCCCTTTTCTATTTATCTTACACTGGGTTCTTACTGAAACTACAGACAAAATTTTGTATCAAATTGTTGCAAAGCATGAAGCTTTAAGCTTATAAAGATAACATAAAATATTGTAGGATTACAGACTAAAGAAGCGGCTAATCCTTTTGTGATAAATATATTGTGCTATTCGCGAATTATTTGCACCAGATAACAGCTGATACTGATACACAAAGTGAACAGTCAGTCGCAGTTCTGCTATTGATCCTAGCTACTCAAGACATACCGTACCAATATGTGTTTGGTTTAAAGGCGTAACAGTTTTGTTGTTATTCTATTAAAGTGCTGAACGTGTAATTAATCCAAAATGCTTGGAAAGTTAGCGAAAAAGCTCGCGGAAAAAGTAGAAAAGGCGGATTCGTTGATTCTTAAAATAAAAATTAAGAAATCTAAAAAGCCAGCAATATGCTCTTCTAGCAGGAGAGGCACGTTGACATGTTTGCGTGAGGTGAGATTTATCTTTTTTGAAGAGCTCTACCATTCAAGAGCATTTGAACTTCTTCTCCTCAGTAGCCAAGATTTTATCTCATAAATTTTAAACAAATAAATTTACGTAGATCTAAATTCTGATTTACCAGACGATGTAAGCATATGTTTAAGATTTGGTTGACTAACTTGGCCGAGGTTATTACGACCACGCCACGCATACAACCGCGTCATCATTTCTTATTCATATTTTTTGTAGTATTTTATTAGCTCTGGTATTTTTATTTTCTTCAGTGTACAGGGTGAGTAACTGGATGAATTGTTTAAATCTACATAGTATTATGGCACTATTATTAATGCGCACAATGTTTTTCTATTCAGTACTTATATGGATGTTGAATTTATTATTTCACTTGGCTAGTTGTTAGAGGAAATAGTGCGAAACACTTTAATGTGAGTTGTAGTGTTCGGAATGTGCTCTCGTTACTGCATCTTGTCATTTTCATTCATGCGAGATATTCACTTTCATTAATAATAGCATATTGTTAATTATACATGTATCATACAATTTCTCACGTTATGGCATGACGCACAATGTTAGGCGCATGATTGGAAATTACTTTCTAACGTTTTGGAGCAACCAAAAGGTAAATATTAAGTTTAATACGTAACCCAGAGGTCAGTCACCCTTAAATAAGACGGGATTAAGATCATTCGAGTAACACCTGTCGTTTCATTTAAAATTGGAAGTGATAGTGGATTTGCAAGCTTTTAATGAAAACTATCAATTCTAGGCAAAACTTTTAAGACAATATTAAATGTATCAAGCATAAAGAAATATCCGGTACTATCCATATTTAGACATTCCATGTTTCAATATGTAAATTGCCGGGCATAAATTGTTGTTAGGACTGGTTTGAACAGTCTTATTCAATATTTCAATTCAATAATACGTTTATAGGTACTGTCGATGAGCGATGAGTTACGCCGGGCATTGTATTCGTCGAGCGCCTCTGTTGACATGGAGTTTTCGCCACCAGATCTCATTGGTACATCGGAGATCTTCACCATGGAACACAGGTAAACAATCAAACCATAATTTCGCCTTAATGTCAACTTCAAATCATTATTATAAGTAACTTAATTGCAGGTTTCCCTTGTAGTTTGATACGTTTAGTTGAAAAAGATTTTTTGCTAACGCTTTTAATAAAGAAAAAAGGTAAAATCTCTCTTTAACCACAAGCTTTGAAATTTCACATGGTGAATAACGGTAAACTAATAAGAATTAAAGTCGAGACTTCGCGCAAAGAATGACTCTCTTACGTCAAAAACGGGTTTTGACATACAGGAGTCATGTACGGCAAATACGCAATTACAATTCACGATAATTCAAAGTTAATAAAACTTGTCAAAAGAGATCATGGTGTAGGCCCTATTTGTTTAATTCTTAACAAAGCTATAATAGAGTTTGTCATACGTTTGCTAATAAATGTAGGCTGTTGTGGGTAAATTATTAGAATTAGCCCGATAGAAAACGTTTGTTATTTACGTTCGTCGATGTACGTGGGCTGTTCTGGTCTAATGGCTTTTAAACTAAAACAAAACAAAGAGAATTTAAATCGTGAAATAGTAATACCTAATAAAAGGATTAATTTAAAATGTCCTTAAAGTAATAGCAAAAAGTTGAGGAGTTTAACAAATACTTTTTTTTTCGAACTCTCGCTTAATTCAGTTAGTAATAAACATGAAATTCTTATTTTTATAGCTTATCGATTTTTTTTCCGCATAATGTTAAAGACACGCTTAACGATTAAATTATAATACAACAATTTTTTAAGTATAATATGAGGTGCGAATAAATTTTCTTTTTAAATTGTGTGTATAGGTTGGTCTATTCCAGACGAATCGGACCTTTTAATTAATTCATTGCGCGTACGCCTACGTACGTACGTACGTGGAACAGCCTCTAAGATTTCTGTATCTATTTATTTCATAATTTTAATATATACTTAAGTAGTCACAAGCTGATTTTCTAATTTAATTTTCTCTTTACCGCAAGTTATATTTGCCTACTAAATCACAATTCTTTTTTTTAAATTTAATTACACAAACAGCCGAGTTACCACCATAATTCTTCAGTGAAACGCATCCTTTGGATAGGCCGACAACGGTTATTACAATATTATATTCGCGAAATGCAATGTTATTCATACTTTTCAGAGAGAAGCTATGCAGCGTCTTACCGGCGCGTGCACAGGGATACATGTGGTCACTGGCATTTAGTACCAGCCAGCATGGGTTTTCACTTGCCTCCATGTACCGTAAAATGCAGAGAGTTGACAGCCCCGTGTTACTTGTCATTCAGGACACCGATAATAATGTAAGTTGAAGAATTTGTAAATTTTATTAACATGTTAAACATTATTAACACAAAAACCATGATGGACTAAAAAACTTTTTTTAATACATTGTCTCTTCACTGAGACATCGTGGAACATTACGATCTAGCCTAACTTATGACTTATAAGTAATTTAAGTCTTACCTAATTTACTTATAATGATATTTAACTCAAGAAAGTCCTACAACAACAATACTACTTACAGTCTCTTATGTCCTCTGTTCTTGTGATACTCTGTTTTTGTGGTCTATTTTTTTCACTTACCACTGTTTAGCACATAAGACGAACGTTCACTAACAATAAATCAAATGGTTTTGTCCTTTTCAATCTTCTCACTAGGCCCGTGGTGTCAAGAATTTGACAAAAAAACTAGCGATTAAACAGTGGCGACTATTTTTATAATTTACTATTACATTTTATGGTTACTTTATTATTGCCGTTCAAATTATGTAATAAATGATATTTTAATTTTGAATCGATCAACGCTTCGATGCCTAAGGTCTCGAATTTGATTCACGACGAATCAATGACTTTTAATGAATATTTGTTCCATTTCAAGTTGGAAGGAAAAAGACCCTGTCCCGTAAAACAAACCCGGAAACGTCTTTCCCATTGCTCTATTTACAGCTAAGTCAAAACACGAATAATAATTAACATCACTAAATGTACTTACTTTATTGTCTAGGGTTCAATTACCTCGTTATATATTTTTTAAAGAAATAATTCTAATTAACAAACGGAATTTTCTTAATGTTGCTGAACTTTTTGAAAATTTCAATTTCGTGGCACAGTATACAAAATGTTCTTTATTATAAATCAACAAAATACACTTGCTGAATTGTAAAATCTTAATACAATGAGTGAGTACAATTTATAAGTGTTAAATTGTTATTGTATACGACTAAATACATATATTAATATACATATATACATTATTAGGTACTCTCAAATTACAGTTAAATAACTCACCTGACGTTATATGTGTATTAAATTTTCATGTTGGTATATTAAGTAACAAAATGAACATAAACAATGTATAATTATATCTTTATTTATATATGATAAAATATTCTATAAACTAAAGCAGTCTAACATGCTTGTGTCGCACAACTCAGATCTAATTAGCTCAATCAAACGGTTGACTGCGACCTTTCTGACCTATTGCTTAGACCACAACTATAGAGTCAAAATCAAAAAAGTCAAAATTAAAATCCATCCTCTGCACATAATTATGAAAAAGTAGACTTACAAGATCTCTATAATAATAATAATAATAATATAATAATGCTGCCAATCGTAGATTTGCTTTTCGGGTTTGATAGCCCGTTTTTTTACAAACGGTCCAGTCGTTAGGTTAGGATTAGTATTTTCCTATAATTTCCATCCATTATTAAATACTTCGGAATGGGCGACGAGGCCAATAGATCAAAGAATGATATAAATTCAACTTGACTTAAAGAAAAAACAAAACACAAATATATCTAAGAATTGAAAAATATATTATTATATCGAGTATGTTATTCGTCGGAAGTACATTTTCACGCGGTACAATCAATTATGTACACGCTAATTAAACAAAAAAAACACTAGTTCAGCTTGGTTATAACTCTCAGAAAGACTTAATTTTTGCGTGTGAAGTCGCAAGAGGTCAGATACACAGACAAGATGTGTTTTTTGTTTATAATCAGCGTAGAAGATGAAGATATTCTGCATCTTGTACCGCATCAACCACGGAGTTGTTCGGATTAATACCTGCAGCTGTGTTTTAGGTTTAAAGACATTTATTCTCATAACAGACAATCGTCACTTACATGAAACCTTATATACTAAAGATACAACTTATCACGTCGTGGGTCATTGAAGAGCTTCAAGGATGAATTAGCGAAGTAGAACTTGGGTGGACTTTCATTTACGTAGATAACTGGGATCACTCAAGAGATGGAGTTTTATCATCGGACGTCGAGGCAGAATACGAAATTCCACTAAACAATAATAGTAACACCTTGACTTCAGTCATTCCACAACGGAGCATTTTTTATGCGAAATATTTTATGAATGAACATCCAGAAAATTCTTGTTTACGTTATAATTTGCAGTCGACCATAACGCCTATTCAAAGTATAAAACAAATTTCTACGTTGCTAACTATAGGGATAGCTAAAACCGTTACCATAACTATCTTCGCGACCATAATACGATTAGGTCTGTGATTCTTTCAGGTATTCGGAGCGTTGACATCATGCGCGTTGCGTCCGTCAGAGCATTTCTACGGAACTGGGGAGTCTCTGCTGTTCTCTTTCCAACGAATCGATGAGCCACGCACTTCCGACAAGGGAGATGACATCAAGGACATAGATGCTGATGTTAAAGAGAAGAAAGATGAGGGGAAAGAAGAAAAGGAAGGTGAGAACTAATGATAAATCTGATTCCGTCATCCTCTTTCAAACAACGTACAACACGATATTATAAAAACAACAAAGGAGTGGTACTCCTTGCCCCTTTCTATCTTCCCTAGTCAGTATAATATGGGTTCATTTAAGCGGCGGCTAAATAGGCATCTCCTGGACTGGCGTGCCCAATAGGCCACTTCTCACTTAACATCAGGTGGGATTGTGACCAACCAGTATGGAGGGCAAGTATTCAATGTGCTTGACACTTCGTAAATCATAACAATCGTGTATTCACAATACTAATTCTGAATATTAAGTTATTATAAGCATCACAATGTGGTATTGAAATTAAGTATGGTAAATATCACAGCGGTCCAATGTTTATGACCCGTCAATTACAGTTTGTCTTTGTCAGAGGTAATTCCATGTTTAAATTCGGTCAAGTCTGTATACTGTATATTAAATCAATAATTTAGAGAGAACTAATTGCTATAAACACGTAAAATATCAAAATCATTTCAATTAATATTATAATTTGTTTACGGAAGGTTCTTACGAAAGACAAGGCTCAATGGAAATTTTTGAAAAGTGTTTCTCAATTTATTTTGAAATTGAGACTAACCAATCTTGAAACCGCGGTAATGTATTAAATATGCAAATTACAAATTTGCTTACCGCTTTATTAATTATAAATGTCCCTTGTCTTGTGGGGTTTGAGACTTAATATACCTTTTTTTTGACATGTTTCATAACCGTCACAGGGAGACGGGCAGGATTGACTATTGTTTATTTTATGAATTATAGATACTAATAAAATAAAACTAATAGCGCCATTACTCGTGTTTATAGGATATTTATGCAATTAATTAACACTGTATTTATAATTATCTTTGTAAATCTTTTATTGTTGATAAAAAACATATCTATAGGTTTAGCTGATCTGATGAGACGATTCCAGTTCATATCTTAAATAGTCTTGAGCCATGTTGATTCCGTGATTACGTAATTTATTTTAGGATTTGGTTTGATGTTCTTGAATTAAATATTTATTCCACGATTTACCCACAAACATTCAGAAGTTATTATGCTATTTTGTAATATTAAAAAATAAAGGTTTTTTTCTTATTTGGTTAAAACTACTTTTTTTAGAATCACCCGCACCATTCAAAACTAAATTCAAATACTGGGGTTGGACCGGAGACAATATGTACTTTATACGTGGGAGCAACGATAACATATCTATTGGCGCTGGAGAGTAAGTTTTTTGAGCATTTATAATTGTCTATATGTTGATTTATTCTTTTTCATAGACAATTATACATCTTACATCCTTTTAGTAATCTGTGACATCCAAAATTATTCCTTAATATTAAAAAGAAATTGCAATATTAATAAAGGAAAGTGAATCAAGTCATTCTTGCACATAATTTGTTTAAAGTATGGAGACAATTTTTTTAATATTGAAAAAAATGCAATATTAAGAAGTTAGAAAGTGAGATTGTCGGTATTTTAATATTTGTTTAATAAAATTCAATGAATAAATGAATCTGTCATCGAATCTAACATCGATAGAAGTAAAGAGTCAATTTGGCTGGCAATAAGGCCTGATGTGTGTCTGTGTTGCAGCGGCAAGTTCGGCTTGTGGCTGGACGGAGACCTGTACTTGGGCCGCACTCAGTGCTGTACGACTTACGGTAACGAGCCACTCAGCACACGCGAGGACTTCATCGTCAAAATCATGGAGTGTTGGACCTTCATCTGAGCGACCAAAGCAGCTTTACTATTGTCTTATGAAATTTGCTACGACAATTTGACACTTTTACAAGTCGACTTTTACTTGGCACCCGCGCCCCGCGTATCTCTAGTCAAAAGTACTGAACTCGACCAATGTTTTCGATTTACATTCGCGGAACGCGCCCGTGCGTCAATCCTAGTCAATTGTCATTCGTTTGTAAGGTTTTAGAGGCGATGGCACCCGAAAGGGACCGGCTGACTGTCAATTCAACGCGTTGTTATTACGTATCAACGTTATGTAGTAATATGTAGTGGGCCTCTCGGGAAAAAGTAGTAAACGCCTTTTCTCATTGGTCATAGAAAAATTGTTTAGAAGCTGTGTTTCGGTGTTACCCCCAGTTAATGATATCGTTGTTTTGATGTTTGCATTGTTGTAGTACTGCATCTGGCAACACTGAAGCTTGCCAACCGTGACTGGTTTACAGATTTATCTGTGACATATTCTTATCTATCTTTCTTATTGGTGGAGGCAATTACCATAGCTGCCTTGCTTAATACAGGATAGATAAGTTTATGGCACTGTTAAGCTACGATGCGAATTGCGATCAGTATGAATAGGTTTAGTTTGCGTAGAGTGTTTGTTTTCATGTTGGTAATTTAGTCATAATTTTAAGTTAGCATAATTTACGTTTACACTTCACTGTGATTTGATCGATATGGCATTTTATTGTATAATGAGAGTTGTTATAATAATATCTTTTAATTTCTAGTTTCATTTGGTACTTTCGAATGTATCATTACATTCATAAGTATTTATATTATGTTAAAATTAAACTATTTTTATGATGTTATCTCTTGAGTACATGAGTAGTGGATAAATATTATATTTAGAAAAATATAGTTATATTAGAAAGCTTTATGTAATCGTTGTGCTTAGTAATTGTATCACTTCGCATGATGTTGACTCAGAATTTTGGGCTATAGCCAAATTAATTTTTCAGAAATGTGACCCATTGTCAAAGTTACTATGGATATGACATTAGTTGACATGCTGAGATGAAAATGTAATTTTTCATAAAAATTCTGCATGTGCACATCATACACACAATATTACGTCTCTTCTCTTAGCTAGTATGTTGCTAATAACTGCTGCATGTCTCTGTTCAGTAGTTTGTGAAAATTGTGCAATATTTGTAGTAATAACCTTATGTGAACAGTGCAACAGGATGTCAACCATATTGACATATCATGTTCATCAGCTTTTAGCAAAGTGTCAATTATTCGCATTTTAAGCCAAAAATTTTGTGCTAGTAGCCAGCTACTGAAGGATCCTAGTTTGTTTCATTATGGTCTAAAATAAGCTATGAGATTAATTAAAATATATTTTTATGAAGTAATAAATTGTTCATAGTAGCATCAGATTGTTGAGCACATTTATTTGCTAGTGCATCTGTCCATGCAGTACTATATTGTTATAATTATCATATTGACAGAACGAACTACCTATGAAAATATATCGGCATAATACATTGTTAAGAATTTTAGTTATAGTTACTATTGTTGAGTAGCAGTGAGATATGTACATTATTTATTTTAATTTTCAAAATGCTGTAGCTGTATTATTTCAGGTGATCTATTTTAAGTTGTTAATGTAAATCAAGCCATAATAATTGAGAAATATATTCTTTTGAAAACTTTTTATTCTTTTATTTGCTACACATAGTACACAAAAAAATATCAGTATCTATTGTCTTCTTTGAAAACGGTCTCTATTATTATGATTGTCACCTTGTTCATAGTCATTGTATCCTCTTCTATATTCTCTGTTACAGGATCCTTCGTCTCTTCTTCCTTGGTGCCCTCTGTCTTTATTATATTGTTCATAGTCATTGTATTCTCTTCTATATCCTCTGTTATAAGATCCTTCGTCTCTTCTTCCTTGGTACCCTCTGCTTCTATTATACCTATCTCTGCTGTATGGCGTAAATCTTCCACCTGATCTATTGGAAATGTACCAATTTTCAATTATTGGAGGAATAGAGGGTTCTGCATTAAAAACTTTCATAAACTCTTCATCATTTTCTGTGTATCTGTCTTTAAACTCTTCTTCACATTCTGCTAAGAAAGCCTTGTCTTCAACTGATAATTCAAATGACATTTTATTCATGTAAGAATCCAATTATTATTGAGTCTAAAACTAAAAATATGTGTTAAATTAACTTAAACCATACTTTAAAGTAATATATACGGCATCATCAAATAATCAAAAAAAGATAAAGGAATGTTTTTCATTTAATTTTTTTTGTCAACCACACTTAGGAGACAAACAAGAGACTTACTACAAGGAGATAAATTATTAATAGTTCAACAGAATTAAGAGGCTCCTACAAAAATCAAAATTAACTTACATTTCTGGCTAACCAGATTTGGTAATATTAGTGCATAAAACTGATCTTTCACTTCATTAAATGAATTATTTGATCCTAGAGGATTATTATATTTTTCAAATAACCAGCCAACTAATACTCCACAGTCAGGGCAAAGGCAGGGTCTCCAACGATAACCAGAAAACCACAATTCCTCGTCTTCTTCCCACTACAAATGTATTCATTAATTTTGCTTTTAGCTTGACTTATCAACTAATAATAAATTAATTAATTTATCTCTATTGCCCATGTAAGAAAAATGTACTTAAACAAGCCAATGTCAAATGGCTGGCTTTGATACAGGCTTTTTTGGTAGAAAGCTTTTTGTGTTGTTATAATTAATAACTATGACTTAATCAGGCGAGTTTAGGGTCTAAAAGAGTAAGAGTCTAGTTTTCTATGTAAAAAAAAAACCACAAAAATTAAGGCAAGCAGCGAAGAAGAGGAGTCTTAATATCACTATTTTTAAAATACTTACCTCACCCAAACCAATGCAATTTGAATAATTAGTAATTATAATGGGAAAATGGAAAATTATGTCCTTTGTTAAAATCTGTACTATAACATTTTCACTACTGAACAATGTGTCATTAAAAGTCTTCAAAGACAATAAACTTCTTTTCTCTATAATAGCATTTGAATGTGAAATAGTATTCCCACAGGTGCGGCACAAGATTACATCTGCAATAAAAGTATAATTAATATTAATAACGTTAAATAATGAGCCAGACATTCTTACTTTTAAAATACCGTTTAATTGTAATGCACTCGTATTGATAATAAAAAAGCAAATAAAAATAAATATTGAAAACATCACAATATTTCACACCAGTGTCTGATGTGTTTATTATTGTAAGAATCTTCGTTACTCACTTTTATCAATAATATGAAATATCAGTGATGTCGTGTACTTGTATTATAGGATAATATGAAAACGTATAGTCGTGTTTATTATCTAAAGAAAAAATGACGTCCGAATTCTGAAGTCTAGCGATAACGTGGTATAAAAATAAAATACATTTCCAGCAAATTTGAAATGACTAAATTTAAAACAATATGTCGCTGTCAGTTGTCAATTCATAATTCATATACACATTTGATCCACAGAAGAGTCAACGTTCGCCTTGAGCAATTATACTAAAAAGTCTGACTTTCTTTTTATGAGTTAGTCTTAAAACCATGTGATTTAATATTGACTATATCTTCCAAACTCGTACGAATTACTATTAAATGTTATTGAGACTAGATTTAGGTCTGAACTATGTAATTTGGTCCTAGCTAGGTTTTGCACGTTTTGAAACATTTGACTTATGACATTTACATTCAAAAACCTCGCGAGTCGCGCGCATTTAGTATTTGTCAAAGTTGTTTACGATTAGGTTATATTTTTAGCAATTTTATACATTGAGATTTCATACATTTTATCGTTTATTTTCCTAAGAACTCTGACATACGTAACATAAACATGAAAGCAGCTAACGCGAATGTTTAAAATTACAACCACCTAGATTTTCTGGATAGATGTCAAAAATAAAGCGAACCATTCAAATTAAGAGTATTTGCATAATGTTCACACAAAATGTATGAAGATGATAATATAACTTCTACTCCTAAACGTTGCGCGTTGAGTGAAGTCACTAATTCTTCGAATTATGTTTCTCCAACGGCTAACTTAAAACTTCTAACTAATGTGGCTTTACAATATCCCACGCCGCCACCAAGTACAGTTCACCGGAAGGAAAAGTCCCTGCAGATATTATGTGACAAGTCAGTAATTCATATTGTTTCTAAATTTTAGTGTTACATCATAAATTTAAGTAGTAAATTGACACATATTTTTCACTTTAGATTTTTAGATCTTTTTCCACTTTATGGAAATGGTCCTGTAGAACTGCAACTAGATGGCACTGCCGCTCGTTTAGGTGTAGAAAAACGGCGTATGTATGACATTATTAATATATTGGAAGCTATGCAATGTGCAATACACAAAAGAAAGAATACTTATCTTTGGCATGGAGCGTCAAGACTACATTCTTTTTTAAAGATGTTAAAAAAGCAAGGAGAAAATTTAAGACTGTCTGAAGTGCTTCGAGGAAAGGCTCCCAAGCCACCGGCCCCAAAACATAAGACTCTAGGTGTCTTAGCTCAAAGATTTCTCATGCTCTTCTTGGTAGAGCCACCTGTAAGTAGTTTTATCGATAACATGTGCCTATTTTTTTCACTAGTTCTTCTTACTGAATCATTTTTGTCTTGTTTTCAGAATAGACTGATTAATTTAGAAATGGCTGTAAGTGTTCTCATAGACACAAATTCAAAAAATAAGTCTATTGTATCACCTGAACAAATGGATCGTCAACATAAGTCCAAAGTGAGGAGACTCTATGATATTGCTAATGTTCTTATTTCAATTGGTCTCATAGAAAAAGTTAATGGTAATTCAATATTGAAAAAGCCTGTCTTCAGATATGTAGGGGTTAAAATGAAAAAACTTGAGAAGAACTTACTTACCCCATCTCCAATTACACCCATCACTACCTTGCATGGTTCTCAGCAGCTTGCTCCATGTCATGTGTTTGCTGGTAAGTCCAAAAGAAAGTTGGAATTCACTACACCAACAACTAGTATTGAAAAGCTTGGTATAACAACACCTCCACACACCCCTTCCCATAAATGGGATGAAATTCTACTTGTTGCTGATATGGAATTAAGTAGAATCAATAACTCAGTAACTCTGTGACAAGTTATTGATTATTTATATTTAAGGGCTGTAATTTTTGACATTATGTATATTGATAGAAATAGACATGCCACAAAAGCCTTTTGCATTTATAGATAACTAAAATCAAATTATATGAAATTTTTAATTTTGGTGGTTATTACCATATGCCATAAAGTTAGATATAACAAAAAAATAGATTTTAGATAAAAAAAATTGTATGTTACAAAAATGTTAACCCAAGTACTTGCCAGTGCAAAAGGAGATTTATTGATATTACTTAGTTATTGAAACAGTCATCCTGTACTCCTCATAAAAGTAAAACAGTTTAATTTGCATTTTATAGTAAAAATCTTTTTATGTAGCAAATGTAATCAATTGTAAAGAGAAGCTATAATACTTAATTATATTATTAATTAACTTTAGAAAATATTATGTAAATCTGACTTTCATGATTGGTGTTCTAGTCTTCATTAATATGAATAAATCACAATAATTCATAATTAATGTTATCCTGAACTTTTGCACTATCTATATTTTTTATAAATTAAAGATATTTAAATGTTGAAGAAAATAGGTAGATAATATATTTATTGTAAAAATTGCAAATGTCTTCCGCAGAGTATATTTAAGCAATTGAGAATGCAATTGTTCTTATTTTAAAATTTTATCAAATTGTTATGTCAAAAAGATTTCTTTTTGTCACAACTAAATATTTTAATGTTCATAAACAGATACATACATTTAAATAAATTGAAAAGCATTGTAAAGGAACTACTGATTGTTTTTATATACTTGCATTGTTTCATTACAATACTATATGAATTATTGTTATATATTATTTGTTTAAATTTGTAGTATGTACGCATATCTTCCAGAAGTTTTACTACAATTTGCAATACCATATTGCATATATAATAGAAATTGACTGCGAATCATTAATAGACTAATGAAGTGTTAGTAAATAATTAAATTCATTAAAGAGTTACTTAACATTATAATGACATGTGATTTACAAAAGACCAGGTTTTTTGTATAGGCCTTTATGATTGTATTGTTTGACAATAATAATACTGAAACATATACATGCCTTTTTTATGAATTCTGCAAAAAAATTTGAATTCAAATAAAACTGCAATTAGTTAAAAATATAATTTTATTAACATAGATAATAGGATTCATAATATGTTATTCTTTATATCTAAACTAAGTATAAACAAAATTTGCCTAGAAAAAGGCAGTACTCATAGTTTTCTTGACTAATATTATTAAAGGTAAGTGAATATTATTATTTTTTTAATTTTATCCAAAGTTATTGAGACAAACCTTATGAGTGTCATCAAGTTGAGGGCTGGTGCATTATGTACTAATAAATGCCTCAAATCCAGTTTTAATAAATACAGATGTGCTTCCTTCAGGTATCCACATGGTGGGCAGATTGTTTAGGTATATATAGGGGTAACTCGCTCTGTCAAACTTGCTCTATCATAGGAAACTGATCAGGGTCTTCAGATAAAGCTAACGTTTCAGCATCAAAGAAACTTGCATGCAGAGCGACAACAGTTACAGTTGCACCTTAAATAGTATTAATCATTATTATTTTAACCATTCAGAATCAGATATTATCAGATGAGCTTTCAGACTTGGCCTCCTAGTTCTTAAAAAAAAATTACTACTAATACTTATAAACATTACCTAGAACCCAAAAGAGAACCGCACCAGCTCCTGCTAGCCACATAATCAGGGTAGAACAGCCTACAGCTGCAGCATATTGCTGTGTTTTTGTGAGTTCCCAATTGCCAATCTGCAAAGATTGTTATTAATACATGATAAGTGTCTATTTACAGCCTTAAGTTCATCCAGTAAAAATTTATTTCATTAATTGAAAGTAACTAATTTATAATTTTTCAATAAACATACAAACATGTAACTTACTTTAGGCTGCAATTTGATTACACAATTTAAATATCAGCTTTTAATTCATGATTCAAAGTCTACCTAAGAATTGTGACTAAATTATTTGATCTTATAATAAAGTCTCCTTTACTTACTTTCCAAGTATTAGGTCCTGATGTGAGTTTCTTATATCCAAAAAAACTAGCAGCCATTGCAATCAACAACAATGGTGTTGTTATTCTGTAAACAATACCATTGATTATAAAAATATATAATAAGACAATATAAGATAACAACTAGGTAAGCCATTGCATTAATATACAACTACAGTAGCTTGTTAAGTCGAACCTCGATAAGTCAAAAACCTCCAAATCTCGAAAAATGTTTGTTCCCTTCCCTTAAAACACCAAAACCTCCATTACTTGAAATCTTCCCTCTGTTAATCGAAATAATCACCGAGTCCCTCCAAGCCATTTTGGTACATATTTTCACTCTATAACTCGAAAAATTATTTGACCTCTGTATCTCGAACATGGAACGTTTTATTTTACAACCTTTACAACTTGATCATTTGGAATTTATTATCTCTATTGTTTGAACAAAAATAAGTTACCGACTTTAAGAACTTGCCCCAATGTGAGTACCTTTGTTCTTAGAAAACATTTTGGAGTATACAATAATAAATTTATGACTCATGGAAACACGTGTTTTTCTTTGTGTCAGGTGTTAATTTTGATTCCCTTGGAAATTTAGCTAAGCCAGTCATTTGTTTTCGACTTTAATACTGTCAGAAGTAGTTTGGTTCTACTGCAATACACATCAATTAGTACAACAGTTAACATGAGTGCAGTGAAACGTAAACTAAAAACTTAAACCTCAAACTCTTTATGTCGAATCAAAATCCGCCTAAGTCGAATCCTCCATAAGTTGAAAACTCTATAACTCGAATTTTTTGGCGTCTCCCTTGATGTTCGTCTTATAGAGGTTCTCTTTTTGTAGTTTTAATCTTGATTGCAATTCAAGGAGAAAAAATCACTTGTCAATTACAACAAATGTTAAATTAATAAAACAACTTACAAGCAATATGCAAAAAGTCCCAGGAATATCATTAAATAATTTGCTTGAAAATGTTCAATGTTTCTGTAAAATCTACGAGATAATCTTGGAATTGAAGCAGGTGCCTAAAAATTAGAAGGATAAGGTAATGTCTATAATTTTTTAAATAGTTAACAGACCAACACTCTGGCTGTGATTAATAATGTTGTAAAGATATACTCACTTTGAAATTATCAGTAGCTACAAATTGGGTCCATGGCCGTCGAGAAGATAGTACTCCCATTACCAATGCTGGTACTGCTCCGCTCCGCACATGTTGTAGTAGTCTAAAATAGATTTCCTATTTTATAGACAATAGTCAAATGGAATAAATCTCCAACCACTAATGCTGCAGAGCCCCAAACATTTTAGCATATAGCTAACCACACTTGGGCAACAGTGAAAAACAGATTATTTAAAAAAAAACAATAGTTGCAGAATTCACTGCTACTATTACTACTAGCTTATTAAAATAAATTAAAAATATTATTCGCAACATAATATAAAACTAGTAATTATATGCGTATTATTAAGTATGCTCGACAAAAATGTTTAGTACTTGGATTAAAATGTCCACATATCTACGCTTGAAGTAATATGATTTGGTATCAGGGAACTGGGAAGTAGTGATTGATTCGTCATTGATCAAGTATAACATTGTGTTGTTAGTTTGTTAGTAAACTTACAAATCCAAATCTTTGACATACTTTTGAAATCCCTTTTTTTCTGTTGTAGCGTTAATTTCTCCAGCTAAATCTATATTAACGTTTTCAGACATTTTTCCAACAGCGGCTGGCTTTTGATTTATATCGTTCTAAAAATTTGTTTGTAGTATTAGTTATTACTACCTAGTACCTACTACCAGACTGGTAAGTCAGTAGTTACTACCTACTACCTAGATCCAAGAGGCAAGAGTACCTTTAATATTATGTTTTACAATTTACATACTGTCTGTTACCAGTGACCACAGATGTTCGAATATCTAATCTGTGAGACGATCCAATTGATTTCTGGGGGTCTAGCCATATCACTTCCGAAAAGTTTTCTACACACACTACCGCTTTTGCATAATTGTTTTATCGAAAACGCTTCGTTCACAGCCAGCCGCAAAGTCGGCAGCGTTAAGGGTAGGCCGTAGCTCCGAGCTGCTGTTCGCAGTACCTTATTCCGTCATATTCTCTCTAAATTAAATGTATTCTTAATGACACTTTTATAAAACTAATAAAAATTAAAACATCACAATATTATTTTTAATTTGCAATAGCAAGCTGCAAAATGTACATAAGAATGCAAGCAAGGTCGGAATAATTTTCGATTTTAGTGGAATTTATGGAAAGGTACAAAATATATTATAAGTACTTGGTTTAGTTATAATTATATCCCTTAACATTCTTCTAAATCAATTTTTTACATTATTTTAATAGCATACTTACCTATAGAAATTAAGTATGGTTTGTTTCATGTTCTCTGAGAAATTTAAGGTTATAAATAAATAAAATATTTTGAACCTGCTTAATAACGATATTCAATTATTAGTAGTACTCATACTTTTATATTTTTAGGAGTAATCCTTATAAAAATCTCACAACTTTTTTGGCTCTGGCTCCGGCGCTGGCATATTCTCTCACAATATCAACACACTTATCCTACAGTAGATTTCTCGGCAATGATGCTGCCAGTGCCGACGAGCTTGCGAGTAATGATATCCTCTGGCCCGTATTCACTCTTTCCCTTGCCCTTCCTGGATTCACCAAAGATCACCCGAACTCCAACATCAACGATGGTCGCGAAGCGCGGACTGCAGAAAATATAATGACAAAGTGACTTTTAGGCCTAAACTAGAACTAATCTCAAAACAATGATAGGGGCAATTACGGGCCATTGTCTCCTTAATAAACATCTTTTTGTTTTAGGCTCGACAGACAGGCCCATGTGCAGAGGCTGTTCCAGCGCAGAGGAATCAGTCACCCGCACAGTCCTGGAATGAGAGACTGTGGCTAAAACAACGTACAGAAATCCTCGAACCAGTGAGGTCGCTCCGAGTAGCCTGTGGAGTGCCCAGGCTGGCTTAGTTAGGACTAGACCAGGACTTTAAGCACAACCATACCATACCAGAACATAATCTGCTAAATGAAGAGCAACATAGGTTACCGCTTTGAAGAAATAATAGAAATAGTACTACGGATTGAAAAATAAAGAGTGAAGAAAAGATAGGTAAGCAGTTGTTGTTTAAGTCCAAGAAATTAAAAAACAATGTGAAAAAGAACAGACTGGAGTGAACACTGAAAGTAGTGCTTTGGGTTTTTTGTGCTTGAACATTTTCAATTTCATTTTTAATGCAGATTTGGAGTTAATAAGTCGATTAAGCCTAGTTCTTATTAGTGATTAGCTACTAGTTTGAATTGTCTCTTTTTATATATACTATTAAATCCAGTTAAGTTAAATTTATATTACCATTAAGTCAGTTTAAGTTAAGTAGTCATTTATAAAAGTTGATTGTTTTTAAAACCTTGGTAGGTATATGTACTTTTAAAAATATCTAAAAGAATATCTAATTGAAAAACAACAAGTATTCAATGAAATGGAAAAAAGGGATTAAGATTATGAAATAGAAATTTAGTCTGGTATGATATAATGACCATTAATAAATTTTTGATTTGATATAAGGATTCCAACATTTTAGATATAAAATAATTTTTCATGCTGATTTTAATTTAATATTTATATGAATTAATTTTTGTTTATATCAGTGTTTTTTTTATTAGTTTATATGTGAATGCAAAACCTGTTTAAGTAAGGGATGATTAAAAATTGTGTGATGTATTTCACTGTTTTATTTTTGGCGATTTCATTAATTGACCAATGTTTTGTTTAGTAAGAAAAGACATTGAAGTGGTTCACATTACCCTCTTATCTGTAACAATATTCTGGTTAAATAAACGAAATTGTACATTTAATATATATTAATAACCCGTAACTAGTAATAGTTAGGAATTTATTTATATTAAACATACAGGTAGTAAAATAAAAAATGTTGCAGTCATAGTTATTTTTTATTTAAATAATGCACATCTGTTTATTATCTTCCTTGTTCCAGTTCATACATGTTTCGTACATGTTCCAGAAAATAAGCAAGTATAACAACTTATTCTACAATACAATCATCACTACTAAAATACACACGAGTGAATCAAATTAAATGCATAATTAATACAGATGTATTATGGTATGCATACATATATATATAATATATGTAGTTAAAAACATATAAATCATATTAATACTATGATTTATATGTTTTATATATATACTAATAAACGTAATTGTTAATGGACAGCGACAAAACTTCTTGTTTTCTGTTTTATAAAATAAAATTGTTCAATTCATAAAACCTAATATTAGATGTTGTGATGATTTCAAAAAGTTGTTTAGGTTCTTTGTAAGGTTATATACCTACATGCATTTCATACATAACATACAAACAGCCCTCCAGTTACTATGATTAGATACAGCCTGTGCTATTTTTAAAAAATACGTTACTATATAACGATATAATTCTTAGCAAAATCGATTCAATTTTTTTGTATAAAAATATTTCATTCATATTAAAACTGAATTAAAACTTATTAAGAATTTGGAAGAATATTACAAATGTCCCTGATATATTTCTATATATTCTTCTGAATCATTTATTTGATCACCCATTATCAAATTCATTTTCGGGTACATAATATAACACTTAAATTAAATAAAAGCTAAGACTTTAATACAATTTGTCCATTGGTGGTTTCTATTAATACCTACTTTTAGTTGCCTTACTATCTTCTCTTTTTGCTGCAGCTTTTAAGATAACGCAAAAACATGGCGGATTAACGCTATTTTTTCTACACTGCCACGACATTAACTGCCTTGCGATTCTGTAACTCACTTTTCGAACTCACACAGCGGTTTTCGCATCGGCGGTCGCTCTCAAATCAGTCGTGAAGCAGTCATTTTATGATTTGGCATTCTGATAAACAATAAACTACAAGCTCTCACCTTTTCATCGCGGCGCAGGCGCAGGCGCATTTCGCCGATGCGAAAACCGCTGTGTGAGTTCGAAAAGTGAGTTACAGAATCGCAGGGCTCGACGTTGACTACCAAAAAGCGTGAGTATTAATGTGTGTCTTTTCGTAGCTTTGTCATGTCGTCCCTCAATGTATCCTGACTCACGCCTTTTGGGCCTAGGCCCGACTGTCGACACGAACTGTCATTTTCATAAAAATTTGGTTTTCGACTTTCTACATACACTATCGTTAAGGCCTCTGCCTCACCGGGATGCCATGGCCACGTCGCCGGCTACGTAGCCACTAGCCATGGCTACCTTCGGATGCCAAATGCAGTAGCCAATAACAGCTTTTTTCGAACCTATCTCTCCATTACCATGGCAAGATAGGTTTGCTTAATGTATTGTTCTTAATGGATAAACTAAATAAACAAATGATTTTCACTTACCGAAATGTTGTTTTTCTTGAACCGTATTTTTAAATTAGTTTAATTTTTAATATTAATTAAAATACTCTGGACTGAAATTTGCTAGGCAACCCATATGGATTATATTTATTGACATATTAAATTAAATATAAAATACGTTTCATTAAATAAGCATCTCGGTGAAGGTCGTTGTATACCGGGATCTTAGACCATTACATATTATAGACACAAATAGTAGAACTTTTGTCAGTTCACTTGATGGGCAATTAAAAAGGTCCGTTAACCTAGTATGTTATTCGTTAACTAATGATATACAGCGAATTATTTTATGTGCCCTTTTTAGAAGTTTAGTACTAAGTAGTTGTAGACACAATAGTAGAAACGGACGATGTCGCCTTCTGGTTCTGACGTACCTACTCATCAGGCACATTGAGGGACGTGAAAAAATTATAATTTTTAGATTACTCGATATTTGTTTTTTTTGCTTGTAATTGATGTTTCATATTATATCAAAAATCGATTATATTGTTTTATAAAAGTTAAAAAGATAAAATATGCGTTGTGCCGCCATACTACACATTTTAATCGAATTTTGCAAACAACGCCTTTGGTATGTATACATAAATGAAAAGACGCGTGGTCACTAATCGTAAAAAAAGTATGTCATTTATCAGTGAAAAGTGAAAATTTTTACTTTTTGCACAGTTTTTTTTTGATTTAGGAATATATTTTTTCCCCTCCAAGTTACATTGAGGCTAAGGCACTGTAGCCTACTGATAACCAACCGCGAGCATAATACATGACAATCTACTTTTTAAAAATTCAATTTTAACCACTTATTACCAAATCCAATGTGCCTTCGAGAATATAATTGTACCATCTCAGTTACAGAGGACACTACAGAGCATACTTTGGGAATAAATTGCCCTTTTATCGGAACCAACGAACCATCCGTATCTTCTACTACCCATCTCTCTCTTTCTCCGCGCCTAGAACTAAATCCAACTGCCGACCTATGCAATTAGGGCCGTAATCATGTTAAGTGTACTGTAATATTCATAACAAAAGTGACATGAATACATATTAAAATCACTTACAATTCCTTATAGTTCCATATAGTCATTTTCCTGTTTGTTCGTGTCGTAGCTCGAACCCCTGCGTACTAACAAGAAGCGCGCGGCCCTGCTTTAAACATCGGACATCGTTACGGTCACTGCGCGCAATCTTATTTTTTTTTTATAGAACAGGGGGCAAACTGGCAGGAGGCTCACCTGATGTTAAGTGATACCGCCGCCCATGGACACTCTCAATGCCAGAGGGCTCGCGAGTGCGTTGCCGGCCTTTCAAGAATTGGTACGCTCTTTTTTTGAAGGACCCTAAGTCGAATTGGTTCGGCAAAAACTGCCTTGAAAATCGCTCAGTTGTGGAATGGTGGACGTCGATTTGATACGGGTGGACTTTCGTATTCTGCCTCGACGTCCGATGACGAAACTCAGCTGCAGGTATTAATCTGAACAACTCCTCTGAACACTCTCCATGGTAAATGCGGTAGAAGATGCAGAGTGACCCCACGTCTCTACGCAACGCCAAAGGATCAAGCCGCTCGGAGAGGGATTGGTCGTCGACGATTCGAACCGCTCTGCGTCGAATACGGTCAAGTGGAAGGAGCTTGTACTGGGGAGCCGAATCTGCGCTTTATATAGTTGCATGTGGTGGCCCGAAGTGAAGTACCGTCTCGCCTTGCTGAGCACACCAAGCTATTTGGAGGCTAATTTAGCAAAAATCTTTAATTGTTATAAAGATTTAATATATCCCAACGGTATGATCTCAGCCTTTAGTTTATAGATTCATTATTCCGTAATAGAATACAAGTCATAGCTTAACATACTCTAAAAATAAAAAAAAATAAATCTTATCTAAACTGATGTAATTTTGTTCGCTGTCCTCTGACATATTGGTAGTATAAATTATATAAATACATTTTTTTGACTTTGTGTGGCTTCGTTAAGAACCCAAGTCGATAAGAAAATATCGAAAGAGAAACATATTCCTTTTTTTCTATTTTAGCGGGAAATTTTCTCCTTTTTAACCGACTTACAAAAAACCAAAGCTAAAAAAGAAGGGGTTATCAATTCGACGGAATCGTGTTATTATTATTTTTTCTAAGATTATAAGAGATTGTATTTTAAGTGCTTGTCGAATAACTATAACGTTATACCGGTTAGGTTAATTGATAACCTATGCTTTCATAGAATACAGATCAGTTAGTAATATTATGTTCTGTGCACAGTAAATTGTAGAACTTTGTACAAGTATTACCCTGTGCCACTCAATTTAGCTTGGCCAATGGTTTTAGTTTTTAAAATAATTAAACAATGATAGTGTATCGTTTTTTTAATTTTGATGCGTAAAAAGCATGCAGTAATTTATTTTGATATTTGCTTGTAAAGAGGAACTATGTAAATCTTCTTTATTCAGTATTGTTGATGGATATCTGCAATATCAAAATGAACGACGGGGATTGGATATGCAGTGATCCAAATTGTGGAAATATTAACTTTTGTCGAAGAAAATCTTGCTATCGTTGTAACAAGGAACGACAGAATGGTGGGCCGTCATTTAAAAAGAAATTAGGCACCGAAATAGGAAAGTCTGCGGCAGAAAAATCTCGCGGCTTGTTCAATGCCGACGATTGGCAATGTAATAAGTGTGCAAATGTCAACTGGGCCCGGCGACCAACATGTAATGTTTGTCATTCGCCAAAATTTGGAGAAGTACGTATTCTAGATACCTAATATTTTTTCGTATTAAATAATTAGTACTTATGGTGTAAATAATTATTCAAATTTTAGGTAGAAGCCCGAACAGGTTACGGCGGCGGCTATAATGAACGAGGAGTTGTTGAGTATCGTAAGAAGGACTCCTCATCTGACGATGAATATGATGAGTTTGGGAGAAAAAAAAAGAAACGCAAATCAGATGCCTCTGAAATGGTAAGAGTTCTTATTTATTATTAACTTGTACCTTTTCTTATTGAGTACCTCATATGCGGTTTTTTAATGATTCTGCGAATTATCAAGTACAATTTTATAATTTTATATAGCAGTTGGTACGTGAATACTCACCATTTCTCTTCCTTTTTACTGCATTTGAATAAAACAGAAAGGATGTTTGAAGCTAAGAAGAGTTGATATAATAGACTAGGATTATGACATAAATTTTTCAAGCACATCATTACTAAATTGGAGATAATTTTTCCTGCCTTCAGGTTGGCAGTCATCAAGTAATCACTGATGGACCTGTTATGAAAATATTTCCATCAGCAAGGCAGAAGGGAATAAGAGGAAACGAAACAGTTACTGGAAGTCTAAGCGATGGCTCTATCTGTGATGCCTCTGCTACACCTATAAAGACAAAAGTACAAAACCATATAAATTATAAACAAAACCAAACACATCCTACATTAAAATCTAGTGCAAATCAACGTAAACGATATACTAGTGTGAGTGATAAAGACCAGTCTGGTTCTTCGAGTCATGAAGGTTATGTTAAAAGCAATCCTGTGATGGAAAACAGAGTTTCATCCACAAATAATGATGTGGTTTATAAATTCAGTGGACCATCTTCTTCAGATGTATTTGAAGTGACATACACCATTGAGGAAAGAGTCAAAGCTGCAGCTTTTGCTATTGTTTACAATAATTGTAAGATAAGCACAGATAAATTTGAAAATTTGTATGATAAACCAGCTCCTGATTTCAAAACAATTTTTGCTTGGAGGCAAAAATTACTTAGCACTGGCTGTTTAGTTGATAATCATGTCGAGAAAGTGGTTCAGAATCTAGTAAGCAAAAACAATGTAGCATCAAAAAAAGTACCTATAAGGCTTTCTAATCCTGAAGAAATACCTATCAACTTTGATAGTGAAGAAGAAACTGATCAGCATGTTGAAAATACAACATTATTTAGTCATAACAGAAGTGGCAGTGCAGAAACATTGTTGATTGACAAAGAACAAAAACCTCCACCTTGTACTGGAAGTGTTGTAGAGGATAGACACAAAAGTCAAACCTCATCAAGAACATCAAGATCCAGTTCAAGAGAAAGTAGAGATTCCAAATCATCTGATTCAGATGTTGAACTTGTGGAGCCTGAAGAAACAATAAATGCCAGAAGTAATACCAACAATATTTCTAATCTACAAGATAGTGATTCAGATTCAGTATCATATAGTAGTGAGAAAATAGACTTTCGATCAAGAGTTTTTGCTGACAAAAAATCAATATGCAGAACAAAAAAAGTAGCTTACAGTAAAAGTGATACTCCTTGCTCTAACACAAACCAAACTTTCCAAGGCTACACTACTCAAAAACAAATTGAGAAGTCTCCTTTAGCAACTGGTAATATATACTTGCCAAGTTTTCGTAATATGAATGTTAGGAATCAAGACAATGTTTGTGATAATGATGGATTATCTGCTGAATATGTACCGACAATGATGGCAGCAACTGCTAAAAAACATTATCAAGACTTCAAAAACATTGTTAAAAAAAAAGGATACTGGGCAAAGGGTAATGGGAGCTCTCTAAACAGAAATGCTTCTGTCCCATTACGTGATGGAATTGTAAAGGCAAGTCCAACAAGAAGCTATTCTTCTACTCAAACAATTCAAATGTACAATAAGCCACCACCAGCTTTGCCAAATCATACATCTAACTATGCAATACCAGGTTTGAATTGTAGAAATGTTAAGAATGATTATAGCATAAATACATCAGAACCATATGAGTCAATATTAAACTTACCTCCACCAAAACAAGATTATTCCTTGCCTCAAAATACAGATGATACAATCTGTGAGGACTTTACTAAGGATAAGCTGGATAGTTCAACTGTCCTTGACAACTATATCTCCTTTGGAACACCTATAGGATCCACTCCTAGTAAGCAAAAACCACTTGAAACTAATTCACGTGTTTTTGATATTGCGCAAACAACTTCCATAAGTAAAAATAAAAATATAATGGACATATTTAGCACTGAAAGAGAAGAAAGTCCTGAAACTAACAACCTAGAAAAGTATGATGAGATAAGAAAAAAATATGAAAATAATTGGAATATTGATGATGACGATCTCTATAAAGATACTGAAGAAGAGTCTAATCTAAAAGATGTTTTAGTCAATTTACCTTTTGTTAACACCAATTTGAGCCCAACATCAAACACTCTATATAACTCAACTGATAGTAAACTAGATTTCACAACAATTCTAGAAAAACGCAATGAGATGCTCGACGTATTAAATGACTTGCAAGGTAATGAGACAACACACACAACCTTGTCTGAACAAAATAATTGTGCAAATCAAAGTTCTGAAGAGACTGAAACTCAAACGTTCTCACATAGTATTACAAACATTCCATTGCCTGATGATTCCATTCATGCTTTAAAAGATTGTTTAGACACTACTGATTCTATAGAGAAGTCTAACACAGTCAGAAATATAAGTCCCTTGAAAAGAGTACATGTTTTAGAATCGGTTACAATCAAACCCAAAGACTCTCTTCCAACCACAACCATGGAAAATGAAATAAGTTTGCCAAAAGAAACTATCAGTGACTTAATTGTTGAACTTCCTAAAAATCCTGAAAATCAAAACAACTCTACACTGGATTTATCTAACATTCTAAATAATATTAACACTGACACACTATTGTTGGCCCTCAAAAATTTGCAACAGCTCTCTCAACCACAAAATTTAACAGAAGCAACAGAGGATACAAAACAAGATTCAAACGTTGAGACTATAAACTTAACAAATGATGAATGGGAACTGGAATCTGTCCAACATGAAAGTATTGAGAGGGAACTGCAAATGTTAGATGGCAACAAAGGTGATACGCCTTTCTTGAGTGATATTTTTGATCCGGGCCCAATTACTATGCCACTTAACATTAAGCTTAACATGAATTGTAAAAGTTTGGAAGAGAAATCAAAATGCTTAGATGAAAATGAACCTGTTATAGGAAATTTTAAAAGTTTTGCCCTTCCTAAACCATTAATTTTAAATAGACTTAAATTGACGGTCAAGCAACCAGAGAGAAAAAAAGGTGAAGGGAAAAGAATGAAGAGGAAGAAAAAGGTTTGTATCAATATCATAGTTAACAAAACACTGAGACATTACCGGCACATAAACTGGCCAAAAATTGCGTGGTTAGGGGAAAATTATTCATATATTATTAAAAAAAAAACTTTGAAAACAATTACTGACACTGGTCAATTAAAAATAATACAGTAGTAACGCTCTGTGCCTATACCAATTTTTGTTAAATTTTTTGTATTCATTTAAAAATGATTAAATTAAATTTTTTATTTACTTTTTACAGTACTTTGAATTTGTATGACGTAATTTGGTCTTTATTGCTTTATGTTGAGGTGTATTTTATAATTTATGATAATTCGGTAATGTTAAGCCGTGTTAATTTTATAGTCTTACCAATATAACTTTGCTTACTACCTATTGTTTCAGGCATCAACATCAGCGGAAGGAAGGAATTCCAAGGAAGGCGAGGATGGCGCTGAAGAGGACGATGAGGAGGAATCTGGTGATGAGGCGGACCTGTCCAAATATGACCTTTGGGGCAGTGACGAAGAGAAGGCAAATTCCCAAAATGGTATGATTAAGTGGTGATTATTTTGTTTTAATAATAAACTCATAAACATATTTAATTAAAATTATATAGTCAGACGTATTTGTGTACATAACAAAATACACACGTGTCTCCGCATCGTAACGCCATAATGTTGCAACACAAGTTTATTTAAATGAACTAAGATGAACATGAATCTATTAATTAATTTGCTTTATGTCCGTTAAATAAGTCTTATTTAATTGCGTTTCGTAACTAAAGACAATATTATTATTTGGTATTTTTGTCACACAGAAAATACTTTTTTTTTTAAATTAAACAATTAGATTTCGTTTTGCTCATTAAACATCAAACCCCGGATCAGAACCAGGGTATGTCAGATGTTTTGTTAATGTATAAATGGTTATCTATTCTACTATATTTTATTCAATCTATTTTATTTTTTATAGAAAATACTGATAAAAATATCGCGAGTTCTGAAAACACGGAGACTGCACCTGTGGATGACAGAAAGTCGCCAGTAGAAAGAAAAAGAAAAAGGTATATTAGTTTATTATTAAAATATTTTGTAAAAATAATTATGATAGATCCTATTATTGTTATTGTTATTATTGTTGTAAGGTTTAAAATTTCTACTACATTCTTTTGATCCTCTTAACCAGGGTAGAATTAATAGTTTTACAACGCTTAACATTGATAAAAATATGTGAAATATTGAATTTTTATTTATACTTACAGGTCAAGATCAAAGTCAAGGTCCAGGTCTAGAAGCTCTTCATCGTCATCAAGTTCGTCTTCGAGCTCCAGTTCTAGTCACAGCTCTAATGGGCAAACGCCAAAAAACAAGTAATTTTTTTACATATTTAAAGTACCCTCCAAAATAACATGTAATGGCAGGTCTCCATATTAACTCTGTAAAAGGTGCCTAAACGTTTATTTATTAGAAAAATACTGAATGATACTCGATAAAAAATACAAATCCGTTTAAACAAGTTAAAACCATCAACATTAATCAGTTATACCTTACTTGATAATTGTCACTGCCAGATGGGATTGACATTACAAAATTTTTAAACATATCATCATGACTATAATAGGGGGTTTACACGGGTGACTAAAGCCGCACGATTTTTGCCGCGCGGCGTAAATCGACCATCTAAATGGCAATTCGGCTAAGTCGCAAGTGACTAAAGCCGCAAGCCCCAAAGTTGGGTAGCATCCGACTTTGGCCTTTGGCGACCGGCCGCATGCGACTGGTGACTAAAATCAACCGTGTAAACGATCAGTTGCAGGCGATCGCCCGCCGCATGAAGGTGTTTCGCGCACGCACGTGTATTTATTTACTACAGCGATTCTGTGTATATGTATCGTAAATAATCAGGATCTTTTAAACTCCACTCAACCAATAAAGTATCCGAAGCACCCAAGACCCTACGTCGAGAAATCCATCCTCGTACCCATTACGTTTTCTTCTTTCCTTTTGTTTTTTCTTCTCTCTTTGTTCTTTAAGCAATTGTTGAATAATTAATTATTTCAATTCCGGCACAAACGGCTATTCTGCTCAACATTTTCGATGGAAATGACCGAGCCGCATGCGTTGCATTTTATGTAATTGTTAATATTGTTTCAAAATAAGTAAGTTATCAGTTTGATGTATAGTATTTGAAATATGTAAATGAATGTGTGCAGGGTTTCTGAGAGTCGTAAGTTCGATCTCCAGCTATGCACTAATGGACTTTCTGTCTTATGTTCGCATTCATGCGCGTAGGTTAGATGTAACACGTTCGTACAGTGAAGGAAAAAATCGTGAGGAAACCGGCATTTATGTTCTGTGTCTAGCAGTAAGATATTATTCACATCCCTTTTCTGTAATTTTTTTCTGCTTTGTGATATTGTCATGTAAATAGTGTTATTTTACATCCTTTTTATATGTTAATATGTTTGTCCATCATTTCTTCGAAAATTAAAGTTCATGTCGAATGATGATTTTAATGAGATATGGGTAGTAGTTATACGTATACGCATTTCTCACGTATACGTATAACTACTTAGGTAGATAATGTTGACAGGTATTTGAAGTTGGTTGAATGTTTTTTTAATTCGGTCTAAATTACTTTTATTAGTCATTGGTTGACTGTATTTCGGATTATTTATGTTTAACCGACTTAATTTTATGTTACATATTTCAGGTTTGACGATTTCAACTTGAACAGCGAGCGTGAGTCCCCAAGCGACTCGCCCAAAGGTCGTAAGGAGACGAGATCTCGTTCGCCAAGGTCGCGTTCATCGAGTGCGCCAGGCCGACGCCGCTCTAGAGATAGCCGATCCGCTGGAGAGACCAGGTAAAAAAAAACCCTAAATAATATTTTTTTAACGCGTGTCACTAACCGCAAGAAGCGATATATAATTCTTATTTGCTAAGCGTAATTTCATTTATTCACAAAAATTATGTACTTTAATATTTATTACATCTACTATATTTTTAATATAATTTTTGTTGATTACATTTAAGTTATAGGAATACAAAAGTGATCAATTCAACGTTTTAACGTAGTTTTTACATTATAATAAGATGTCCACATCATGTGACACAATGAAAATTCTGTACATAAAAAAATAACAAATTCCAGGACGTCCCGAGACAAAGAATGGTCCCGTGACCGAGAAAGGCGGGATAAATCTCGTGGAAGTCGGGACAAAAAGGCCCGTCGATATAGCAGAGAGGGTTCCGGGAACCATTATGGCGCTCATGGGAGACATCGTTAATTATCTATAGTACTTATTTTTTCATTTGTGTAAATTATTTGTGCCCAAGAAGTTGTGTATATGGGATTTAAAAAAAATGACGGTACTTTACAATTTCGAATGTGTGTACATTACAGAAATTAACATCAAACTGAATTTGTGTTCTCCTCGAAATGTTGCAGTAGCACAAACTTTCGATACTTTCTCAAATAATCGAATTCGTACGTGTTCGATTCGATTATTCGTTGAAATGCAACTTTTATTCAAAATGATGTAACATTTGATGGTATTGTCAGTGCTAGTACAGTGTAAACTATCTTATTCACAAAAACTATATCAGTGTAATTGCACTTTTGTAAGTACTCATTGGTCTCTTTTCATAAAGCCTTAAACACAATTTGACAGAAAGAAACGAAAGTACGTTTACACAGATTTTTATGAATGTGGTATGTATATAAAGGGGGTTAATAGCGACGTGTAAGGAACTGAGCAATTGAAGAGAAATATAATTTAAAAAAAATATTCTGTAGATAGTGAACTGATGTCTGTTCAGACAAGGCAAACCAACCAAATTCAAGTACATAATTCAATTTAGTTTACACTGTAATTGCATTGCCTAGCGAATGTTTCGAGAGTTCTTTTGCTAAGATAACTTTTTTGGCTTGAAAGGTAAAAAAGTCTTGTAAAAATTTGTGTAAAGAAATAAATGTCGAGACTCCGTAGAACACAAATTCGTACTTTCCATATTCAGCTCAAAATTGTAATTCCTAATTTTCTTATTTTAGTTAAGAACTTGTACAGTATTTCAATTCTTGCGCTAGTTATAATATGAACCTTAAGTGAGTATAGATAAGATACATTTTGTCTTGAGCTGTGTATAGATTTAGGTTAACTTTCGCTTACAGTGAAACTGCTTTTCTAGAAATAACGCCAATAATCCTCGCTTTTTATGTTATGTTCATACCTCGAGTTATCTCCAACGGCCCGTTGTCTTTGAAAACGTTTAAAACGGACCAATGAACAAAGAACATCGGTCTGTATTTAGAATATTTGTGTAAATAATTAAAGGTAGAACGAATTTTGAGGGTATTAGGAAAATATTTTTTATAAAACTTTCAGCGTATTGAAACTAGGCGGCGTTGTGGTCAATTAATCGCGATAATTGATTACAAATTAGCCACTTGAACCTTTACTGTACTTATAGAAGGCTTAAAAAACGTGTAAAGACAAAAGGTTTTACTTAGAAGTTATGAATTAGAACTTTGATATTGTTGTACTAAGATGTATTTTTTTTAGTTTTCTTCAAGCATTTAGTTCTATTTAAATGGCTAAGGTTGATTACATTTTTTTTATTAAAAAGATTTAAAAACATTGTTTAAGTCCTTGGATTTATTTTCATCAACTAGACTGTTTATTTTTCTGTCAGACCGGAGAATGTAACCGCAAGCCAATTGCAATAAAGCTCTCGAAGTTTGACACATTAAACGCAATTGTTATATTAATCTTTTTGTGCGTAAAACGACTGCTACTGACAAGTTTTGCCTAAATTCCTCTGGCCGGAGGTTGCAGGTTCATGGCCTTATACAAAAAGGTTTACGTTCAAGCTGGTATTAACGACAAATGATACATTGCTGTAACATTAACCTTATTTGTTGATCCAATGTATAGAACCTTATAAGTAGAGTAAGTTTAAATGTAAGGTAATGATTTACCAATAAAGTGATATCAATAATAACATTTTTAATTATTTTTATTATTACCCTCTGTCAATCTGAATTTAGTATATGTATAGGGCCTTACGTATAATAAGAGCCTCCTTGAGTTATGATCCGGGCACTTAGGCACTTATTTGTTAAAGAAAATTGATTGAAGTAGATTTTTTAAAATTATATAATAACTTGCAGTTAACTCCTAACCTTGAATAAAAATTATCCAGAAATCAGAAGAAAAATGTCTATTGAATACATAAAACAATTCAATATAAATTAACTATCCTAAAAACATATAAGCGTGAATTGTAAGCTTGTTTTGGGGAGTCGGTTTATTATTTCTTGTAGAAATAAATAGAGTAATTGTTAAATAAAATAATTTGATTATTGGCAATAGCTATTAAAAACAATTATTATAGAAATGAAATTGATGTATTTTTCATCCCTTAGCGCCACGATCTGCAATAAAAGAGTAGATAAGTATTTATTATAATTATACACAAGATTAGTAGCTTTTTGTTATATTACCTCCTTCGAGACAGCGGCATTCCTGAAAAAAAAATACAGTTAAAGATTTAATGCAATTAGTTTTTTCGAGATGCCAAAGTTGACATATACAAAGTATATAAAGCAATACACAGAAAATTTGTATAAAATTTGAATAAGATTTGTTTTCAGTTTAAGTAAGTGGTAAGTATTCCCGACTGTCACAAGTGTATGTTTAGGATTGATCATTGAACCAAATAAATGAACGGCGCGCAAATTCCATAGTCTATGGCTATATAATAGTATGAACCTATGCAATATGCATGTCATAAATTCTTCAAAAAATATAAACTTATAGACAAAGCTACAATAAAAAACTTACGGGATTGACATTAGCTGGCTTCTGTGGCGACTTAGGCGTTGACGGGTCTAGCTTCTTCATCCTTGGGGTACAAGTGGCGTCTATTGCTCCACCTATATTAAAATGGTTTAAAAAATGTTCTTAGGAATATCCTACGACATTTACTATACTAAAAATTATTATATGTATAACCAAACCATTGTTTAATATTGATTATAACATCACCTGGTCCTACATTTGCTCCTTCGCCAGTAGCAACTTTGTACATCTGAAAATAAAAAAAAACTATAATTTCGCTCGCGCGTATGTGCTTTAATACTATAAATGACGCGTTTCTATACAAATGTTCGTTCGTCGTTGGTTACATGTATATGGGTGGATATTCTAAGAAATTTTGCATAATGGTTTTTGTGCATTATAATGCGACTACGAAAATCCCATGTGAATTATAGTGCTGTTTATTAGACTCAATTTCTTTAATTTTTGTCACTTTAATAATTTCCAAGACGCAATAAATGTGACAAGGGCTAATTAAATAGGTTAAGGGCTAATTTTCTATAGATAATCATATTATAATTTATACAAAGATTGAGGGTCGAGTTGAAGTACATACCCTTCCATCGTCCCCAGCAGCCAGACCAGAAGTCAGTGGCACTACATCTGGTCCCCACTGCTTCATAAAGTGCCCAAGACGTGCCACGCGTTGAGCAGCTGTCGTTGTTGTGTGCGAACCACCGCAATATCGGTTACATAGATGTTTGTCCGATTCCGATCTATTAAAACATGAAGGGTAGGATTCAAATTCGAGATTAGGCTTAGTTTGACTCCCGCGTATCAAAACAATACTTAGACTTCTACTTAATGGGGTAAATGGTAGCTAGTTTAAATACAAGAGCTTTCGCACTTCTTGCAATAAAAGTAAATATATTTATTTAATTATTTACACTTCGTTGCAAATAAAAGAAACACAATACATAAAAATTATGGGGTGAACGGGCGGCCTTATCCTAATTATCGTTTCCCCCCGGCAACCCTATTTAATGCAAAAAACTAAAAAAAAGAAACACAATACATAAAAAAAATATATATATATATTATACATATATATAGAACCTTAATCTAAAGTAATACAAAAAAAATATTAATAACAAACTAAAAACTTAAAAGCTAACATTAGCATTGCAACACCGAATCTGTAATTCATGAACAGCGAATAGTGTTGCAATGCAAAAGAAAAGGAAACATAAGAATTACACAAGTCACGATCGATCAGGATAGGATAAGGTTAAGAAATGATTATACTTATATATATATATATATAATATGTACTTAGGTTTGGGCGGGACTTTCTTTTGGTCCATTTGTTTTTCGATATTCTCCCAATCTCTCATATTCCGTTGTGGTAGGTTGGTGGCTTGGGTCTTGCGAATTGCGTCTGTTTATTTATAATAAACGTTGTATTAGAAACTATAGTAACAAACTATATATACATAAATAGGTACGTCACAATAATCTATACATAAGATATACAATAATAATGTTTGTGTTTATATGCTTTTAAACATAAAACTTCATGAAATTAGACAGTTAAATCTATTCTAAAAGTATATTTTCCTGCAGTATTTGTTACGCGAAGAAGAAAAAATATTTTTAAAAATTATGCCTAAATGCTAATAATATAATAATCATGAAAAATATTTTCTCAAAAGCTATTCTAATATAACAAAGAAACGTCTTTCCTACGTACCTAGTTCATAGCTTAAATACGGTTTCATGGAAAGATTGGCTGGCATTGGTTTGCTGACTGGCACATTGGAGGCGGCCTCCATCGCCATAACGGCTCTTGCATCACATGATATGCAGTTTACGTCTCTGGAACAAGCATTCGATTTGAGTAAGAGGAATTTCTATTGACAAGAATTTGTTCTAAAATCCACTTATTCAGGAGCAAAGGGTTGAGAAGTTTTGAGATGTCAGTGAGGAAAAAATATCTTCCATACCAACCAAGAAAATACAAGACTAGCCACATTTATTAATCGATGTGATGTTGGCTAAGAAATTGAAAGCAAGGGGCCCCTTCTGCGGTACATTCAGTTTTCACCAATGTGTGTGAATATTATGCTTATAATTTAGGAGGTAATTTGTTACAAATCAACTGTTGATCACCTCAACAATTTTCTCTTGGTGCCTGCTGCCTCAGCCTCTCTTCGTAACGCAGCCATTTGTTTGAGATTTTCTTGAAGTTGTCTTAGTTTGTTGTTGAAGAAGTCTTTCACTGGTGACAGTTCCATCTTATCTAGTTTCATCTCGATTTCACGTTGGATGTCGTCCAGAGCTTGTTGCCATAATGATTCCTTCAATTATTTTAAAGGTATTTACAATTAACACCTATTAAATTTCTAAATTACCAATCTGGCTCAGGACAAAGGGTCAGATAAGAAAAATGATACAGTAGAGCGATCTGCTATTTTAACACGCTTAATAGCTTATGTGCAAAATTTTGCTTGTAATCCGCTTCCATTTAAAAGAGAATACAAAAAGAGCGTAGAACAAGACACGCGCCATGATTCGCCGCATTTCTACTACACGTTGTATAATTCATGTGAAAATCTAATGCTTAGCAACCGATATTTTTTATAAAGTGTTTTTATACGTATCTTACTTAACATTAGGCTTACTAAATGCACTAACCTCCTAATCAATCGATGTTACAAAGATTACGTGCAAATTTATAATAAATATGAAATTTATGTATGTTATTAAATTAGCATCTTACATATTATTAAATTAAAAGGACGCGGTTTACTAAGCTCATGATAGGGAACATCCCATATTCTATACATGCTTTGTAAATAATAAATAAATCAAAATGTGTTTAGTCGTTATAAGTACATGCATAACAATTTTAACTACTTAGGTAAATTACGTAGTGTCACGTTAGTGTCAGGATTCCCGACCGAGCTCATACCACAATAATTTCCTTGGTATAATAGTAATTTTCGTTAATCAATTTTCTATGATCATTAGCTTAATGTGACACACGTCGCGGATGTTCTAACTCATTCAGATCTCGTAGTATGAGAGTAGTTTTGAGGTGTCAATAACGCATATCATAGTCGCCCACGCTCAACACTTGTTTAAACTTCTATCATGTAAAAATCGTCACTATATACCTGCAAAGTAAGTTTTCCAAGTGCGTGCTCCAACCCACGAGATAGATCATCACACGCGAGCTCGAATTGGTCGCGTGAAACTTTGCGCGCGAGCATACGCAGGTCCGCCTTATCCGCCATCGCTTCTACCATGTCTTCTCGGTCCAGTTTAATGGTTTTAAGCAATTCTATTTGCTCTAATAGTGCCTGGAAGAAGTAATTTAGATTGCACCGTTACCAACCATTACAAACTACAGTGAGACACGCTAAAAGAATATTTTGGGTGAACCTGAATCAAAAATTTTTGTTTGTTACCGATATAGAAAGTTGATTAAACTAACTAATGCGAATGTAGTTATTAAGTGAACCAAGGTGATATTTGTTAGTTCTCTTAGTTACATCTATTACATATTCATAACAAAATATATTTGTTTCTACTGTAAATATGTAGTTTTTCAGGATCCGTCTTTTATTAGCAACACTACCGATTCGTTTTTCAAGAACTATTTAATATACCTACATTCATATTGTGTAGTCTATCTTCTTTTTCAGAAGCTAGCTGCAAAGCTGTCTCGTGGACTTGCTTCAATTGTTCTTGCATTTCTTGTACCGTTTGGAACAGTGACATCAAACCTGTAAAATTAATATATTTATTTTTATACTAAACTGTACAGACGTTCGGCCACAACTCCACTTGATGTTAAGTGAGATATGGTATATTGGTGGGCACGCCTGTCCAGGCGATGCTATATAAATGAAGCCATATACTCCTGTGCAGTGTGGCACTTCGGGATGTCGACAACGTGAAATATACCACAGAATCAAGATTCTTACTCAAGATCGTTATGCGTACCCAGAAACAATACCTAATCCATATAAATGGATTTAATTGCAAACTCTTTCTATTGATTATATTTCTGATGATTATAGTATTTAAGCTTATTCTTGTTATTAAGTCATATATTTAAACCAACCTTGTATGTTTTTGAACAAATCCGGGGACAGAGCATTTGATTCTTGACTGCGCGTTAATGCAGCTATTTGCTTTGATAAATATTCGATTTGATCTTGGAACGAGTTTATCTATGAAGATGAATTAAACGTTAACTTTGCATTAATTATAGCGTAAGAGATTTATACCACACTTTACAAACAAATTTTTTTTGCTAATTATATAAAACCTCAAAGTTCGTTCTGTGTGGTAGAAGTAGTGCGTGTTAGTTGCTGCTCAGTGCTTTTCCTATAAATTTAGCTTTTGATCTCTTATCTTAGCTCTCTCTCTAATCTTACCTGATCTTGAAGGACACCATCTTTCTTCCCGAGAGTATCACAACACTCTTGCAGTCGCTTTTCCAAATCGTTCAGTCTTTCCATCAGTCCAGCTGTGAGTTGTGAGAATGATTGACGAGGCGGGTCTGTTACTCGTCGGACTGAAACATCAAAGTCTTAATTATTTATTTTTATTCATTTACACTTCGTTACCATAATATACAAAATCATATCATATCATACATAAAAAAACCAAAAAGAAGCAGGTTACATATGTTATTAGGCAACGGGCGGCCTTATCGCGAACAAGCGATTGCTTCCAGTCAACCCTAATATGGAGCAATAAAAAAAGAAACACCTACAGAGGGTAAAGTACAAGGAGTGCATAATTAATTAACAACTAAAAATAACATGTAACTCTTACTAAAATAAAACAAAATAAAATCTAAAGAAAAAATATAAATAATGATATGTACAAACAAAAATGTAAAAGCTAAACCAAAGGTTAATTGAGTCACAATTAATATATATAAGTAGTAGCTAATTACGAGGCAGAAGAAAAATGATCAAAAAGAAGATGTTCTGAAGATAAATATAAAGACTGAGCTCGTCTGATATCAATTGGTAAGGAATTTCATTGCAGGATACTTTGCACAGTGCAATCTTATTTCGTATTAATAATATTACACGGAACTAATGAAGCGGACTACGAAATGATTTATCCTATAATTAATTGTAATAGTTAATAAACGTATAACTTCGTTAGTTTTTTGTTACCTACTTATAAAAGTCAGACTTTCAACTCAATTTTTGTTTCAATATGACATACCTGGAGGAGGAGGTTCTGGCGAGGGTGCAGGCAAGGGTGCAGGCGGGGGTGCAGGCGGTGGTTGCATAGCTGTAATAACATTCTAATCAGTCCATATTAAAGAAAGACATAAGAAGCAGGAAATTGATATCTTCTTGAGTGTTAAGTTGTCGATCAAACCATTCTGCTTAGATCAAATACAAATGATGAATATCTAAATCTACAAGGATTACCTAATCCCGCTTGTAAGTCAGCCATAGCAGTATTGAAGGAATTCGCCAAATTGTCGAGATCTGTTTTCATCTTTGCTAACCGTTGTTGAAGCGTCGCAAGATCGTCTTTCGATGCAACGTTATCAATTGGCGGAGGAGGCGCAACAATGGTTTGTATTTGAGGTTCTCTGTAAGAATATTAATATATATAACTGTGTGACAAATAATAGTAAACAGTAGCTGAATATATAGTTTTATTTTCTGTGTCGGTTTGAATAGTGTATCAGATACTATTTATGCGCTGTCATACAGGTTTTGAGGTACATAATTGAAGTGAAAATTTTTACGGATACGTCACAAAGATGTGCAGCGCTTTTGCGAAGAAAAGGGAGAGAGCGATTGAGATAGAGTGAGAAGGGCGAATTTACCAAAAACAAAAATAAAGTTTCGTACAGAGAAATTATGAAATATTAGTATTTTATATTTTATTTTTTTCTATTTTAAATTTATTGAAATCTCAAACGACGAATTGTAAATTAAAATCCCACGTGTTTTTATTATCGACGAAATAAATTTATAAAAATAAATTTATAATTTGTATTAATTTTCGACACCTATAATATTTTAATGACAATTAAATCATTAAATTCCTAACATTTTCCTTTTTCCCTCGCTTTAAGTCTCGAAAAATTTTAGATTTGTATAAATATAAGGCTTAACAATTAGTTTGCCGAAGAAGTTTCACTTCTGACATGCTTACGCTCGCACTTTTCTCTATCTAAAATAGTTCTTAGTAAAAATAAAAAAGACAAAAGTTCAAAACAGAAGTGTATCTGAGACACCAAAGTAATCTCGATTCATTTGGTATATCATAAATTATATGGAATAAGTATTTTTTTATATTTTGTAAGTCTGCTCCTAAAATATAGTTCCCACTACACCAGGAACCTGGGAAACGTTGCATAAAGTTATGGCAATAAACTATGATTGTTATACTGGGTGGCGCAAAAGTAAAGACCCTATTTGGTTCAGCTATAAAAAATTTCTAAATTAGAAATTTCGTACCATTAGGATTTAAAGATGATGTCTTTAAATGGTGACCTCCATAGTTGATGCACATTTGAGCCCTATTTATGACATTTTGCATAACTTGCCGTAATACTTCCTGGGATATGTTCCTTATTTCTTGAAGAATGTTTTCTTTTAGAGCTTCGAGAGTCTGTGGCTTGTTCACATACACGCGAGATTTCAAAAAACCCCAAAGAAAGAAGTCTGGACTTGTCAGATCGGGTGATCTTGCAGGAAATCGTCGACGAAATTCACCTTGTGTTTTTATCACTGATGAATTATTCCGCAAGAACATTGACACGATTATTCCACGTTCTCGGGGAGTAAAACGGTCCATGTTTATTTTCAGTGTAATTTACCTTTGTTCACTACACAATTTTCAACAACAGAATGAAAACTATCGTCATATAAAAAAAATAAACAAATTTTCTTTAATGCCAGTACTTTTGCCCCACCCAGTATTAAGTCATGGTATCTGGAGCGACACCTTAAGCAAGGGTATGGTAATAGAAGGTAAGAGACACCGAGTCACCCAGCAATACAATTATAAAGACGACAAATAATTGTACTTAAAAGTGAATATAAAAAAGTTTTGGATAAAACCAAAAACCACGCTGACCAAGTATAGTTGGCCGATAAAACTGTACTTACCTAGACACTTTACGGGCGTTAATAGCATCTTGGAGTCCAGCTGTATCAGATATAATGTCCTGAACCAACGAACTAAGTTTCGCTATCCCCGCCTCAGCTGCTTCCAATCGGGAAGACACATTGAGCGATGTCCACATATCAGTTATGGCTTTGAGATTCGTTTGTGACCTAAACAAATATACGTCATCATATTAGTTTGATCGAAACTTAGAATAATCCTCAAAATTGATATTATTTATTAATTAATTTTATTTATTCGCAATTTGTACCGTAACAATGTAACCTAATTATTATAATATTACTAGCAGACCGGTCAAGCGTTGCTATGGCTAAGGTTTTTTGTTACATTACAAAGTAGTAAACTATTCAAGGGAAACGGTAGGAGAACACCAGTCATGGGGACCACCATGCTTTTTTGGTGGTTATGCCATTAAATTGTAGCTTATGTGAAACGTTGGCACTTTCAACACAGCGCCATCTGTTAGAATTGTGACTATCAAATAATTAACAAATAATTTGCAATAAAATAATATTGCAGGTATAAATTGTGATGTAAGCTATCCAATATTTTAAGTTAGATCAAACCGCACACGGTGTGCAAATTTGATTGAAATCGGCTCAGTAGTTTAGGAGTCCATAGCGGACAAACAACGTGACACGTAATTTATATATATTAAGATTGTAATGAATGTCGAAGCTTCGGTATGTGTCGGTGGAACATAGTTTCTCTGTTCACCGACACATACATTTTTGTATATTTTTTTAATAATAAAATTAATAAAGACTTTCTATAAAAAACACGTACGAACACCAGCTTATTTGGGTTATACTTTAGCTGTTTACGCAACAGAATTCCCAAATGAGATTCTTACCGAACTTCTTCCAAAATTTCCTCATTCTTAGGCATGCTCCCGTATACACGACTCTTCAGGTCCTCAACCGTGGTTTCTAACAGGTTGAATTTACTCATGGTTACGAGGGATAGCTTTTCTGTTGATAGCATCCTTTGAGGACCCGGAGAGGGTGCGCTTGGTGGAGGCGAATGAGTGCGAGGTGGGCTCCGAGCTAATAACAAAACGTAATTCTTATATAATACATTGAAAATATGTTGTAATTCTGAAACACTTATCGCAGGTTAAAGATCTGACATTAAATAAAAAAATTGATCACTTACAAGGTGAGTCCACTTTTTTTACACGTTCCACTGTAATAAAAATTAAATATTAATACAAGTTCCATAAAACAAATGTTTTATTTCCATTAAGAACTAATCGCTGTTCCCACGAGAATGTAAGTGTGTGCTCCTATTTCACCATGCATCCTGCTGATAGAGGACAAATCTTTGTTTTTAATTTATTTTATTATTATTATTAATTAACTATTAATTACTTAAAATGTCATGTGGAACATGGTGTATTTGCAGCTGCTTACAAACATTGTGTAAAACAAAAATCTTGGCGATTAAAAAGAGTGGCGGAGAGTTTATTTCCAGTACTTCTCTTCCGTTCTACGCCCTTGATTTGAGAACTGGCAGTAAATGTAAAATTAGAAGCATTTAATATGTATTTCTTTTTTAAGGTTCAGTGTACATTGTGTTACCTATATGAATAAATGATTTTGATTTGATTTGATTTAAATCTATTGTAAGCCATGAAGTATGGTGTGAAATTATAAAAAAACCATATTTAATTAACTGTGTGAAAATTTAGAGAAAGTAATTTTTATATATTTTAATACATACTTAGTTTGATGTCTTACCGACTAAAATAGTTTCTGGTTCCGATGGAGGAACTGTAAAAATATTTATATATTAGATCAAGTTAAACCAATACTAGTTGACCCGGCAAACGATTGTTTTGCCATGTATATTATTTCTAGTAAACATTTTTTTAGTTCAATAAAAATAACTATCTACTATAATATTATAAAAAATAGGGGTTGATTGTAGAGGGGTGACAATTAAGGGTTGTATGCATTTTTGTATCCTGTATCATAAAAAAATAAAAACAAAAAGTTTTGTCTAAAAAATAAAATAAAAATTTAGGAGTGGGACCACCCTTAACATTTAGGGGGATGAAAAATAGATGTTGTCCGAGTCTCAGACTTACTGAATATGCATAAAAATTTCATAAGAATCGGTCGAGCCGTTTCGGAGGAGTATGGGAACGAACATTGTGACACGATAATTTTATATATAAGATTATAAAGATTCGTATTATTGTATGTAAATATATTTTATATTAACTGACTACAAAAATTATTTCACTATTAAAACGTTTATTTCTAAATTAAAAATAAAATGCCAGCAGTGCGAAGCTAGTTTGAGAAAAAAGTTTAACTTACGCACTTCCTCCTTAACAGTTTTTTCTTGTGTATCCTATAACAAGACGATTTGTTTAATATAACCTATAACCTGTATAAGTCTCAAGCGTATGCCTGATACCAACACCACACCCACACCCTCCCAAATACTCACTCGCATACACACACTCACTCACTCTCTCTCTCACACACACACAAACTCACACAGGCACACACACATACACCCATACAACCCTATTTCTGAAGGGATTTAGTTGACTGCTTTGATTAGTTTTTTTCCTTTTTTTAGAAACTAAATTTTGTTGCCTACTCATATATAGGATGTACTTCTCTGTTATGATGCAGTATGATTTTGCTGTGGAATGGAAGCCTGGTTTTCCATATCAGGTTCTTACTTAGCTTGGAAATCAGTCTCCCAATACCTTTTTGATTGTAATCGTACTGTTTATTTCAATTGTTATATGGGAGAAAATAAAGAATTATTATTATACCATACGCAATAAAGTTAGCTTATAACTTTATTAACCTAAATACAAATCGAGATAGAAAAAGAATGAGTGTTAATGGTCGTTCTTGAATATCTTTGATTAGAAAAAAGATATGGAAATCAAACAATTTCGCCTGTAGATAAATACTATAGGTACTATTGTTTTTTAAATACAATATTTAATATGACTATCAAAATTATCAATAAAACTGCCTTAACTTGCCCTATGCTTCCATGGTTTGTATTTTGTTTTAGAAAATTTTTGGAGTCTTCCTCTTTATTTAACAGAAAAAGTTTTTATCAGGTGATATAGATAATAGCAGATTTGAGGCTAGGACAGGACCTTATCTGTGTCAACAAGAAACTCGCTGACAGCAATAGTTTGTGAATTTTCCCTCCCGAGAGGAAGGGCTGCGACGCTACCACGCAACTCGACATTCTTTCCAAGCACACGTAACTGCTGTGCAAGGCAATGCAGAACTGTTTGGAGCATGCAGAAGTCCACCACTCCAATCTAGAAAAAAAATTATGGCCAGATGTGTTACTTATAAGTAGGTCAGTTCCATTAAACGAAGGAAGAACTAAGCTTCAAAAGCAACAAAACTATTATTTCTCTGCGTCGCATTTTCGACAATGCAACGTTTTTTTTAAAAGAAGATTAATCAACTAATTAAACCTAAAACTTAAAAATGCGATGCTGATGTATCTCTAAGGACTAGAGCCGATCTCCCCCAGCACTATATAGCAGGGCGGCTGGGATGATTTGAGAATGACCGTTGTTGAACCACAAATCATTCATGCCTCAGAGAACGAACGATGAACGGTAGACCATGTGACGGCATGCGGACAAGTTCTGCTGTTACCGCGCTCCTTCTAGAGCGAGTGGCCCCTTAGGTTTTACTGCTTATTATACCTATAAAACCTTGTCAGCGATCGAAACATAGTTGTGCCTTACTCTTCATTAAACACTTACTAATAAAGCAGTGCTCATGGCTTATAAGTCTATTTCAGAATAATCTATTTACATTATAAAATAGTCTGATTTCAAGATTTCTTTGGTACACTATAAAATATATCTTTCCATAACAACTTACCTCAGGGGTGCCGATTGCCAAGTCAATCATGTCACCCAGGTTTAAATAAACAGCTGTTGCGTCTGAAATAAATAAATCTGTTCATAAACGTACATAAAAACTTTAAGGCTGTTTACTATGGAATGTGTTTTTATCACTTTGCAAATAAATATGATTAAACATTATTTAACATATAAATATTTGTATTTAAAATATAGTATTAACAAATACACGTAAACAAATGAGATCGAATGGCTACAGATGGAGTTTTTTTTTCACAAATGTACTTTAAAAGTATTAAGTATTTTGATTTGCATATAGCTTGCAGAACTAGGGAGTCTGGCTCAACTAAGAACATATACTAGGACAACATATTATATTGATAGTATATTCAAGATCAAGTAAAATCATTTTTTACAGCTAATTCCACATATTTATGCCATAAAAACGTGTACTATTTTACCGTTACAAGTACTCTTCCGTGTTCTTCAGTCATATTGTCTTTACGTTATGATAAAGTGTAATTTAAATACGGTAGAATTGGACTGATTAACTTTTTATAAATAAAATCTTACGTAATATTATTTGGATTGTTGTTTTTGTATTGATTTGTTATACCTTTTGCGATGGAATCTTATGATAGACATTGCTTGGTAACTTTAAGACGTAAACGTCAAACTATTCACGAGAAAACGACAAGAAAGTAAATATTACCTGACATGGTGATAAAAGTAATCTAAATCTGTTAATAGTGATATAATAAACTAAGTCGAAAAATAATTAACAAATCATCTAGTAAATATTTATAAACATATTGGCAATTTTATTCAAAACAGCTGTCAAAAGTTGTTGACGAAATGTATGAATATGTCAAAACGTTTTATTTATTTTTTCGAAGCGATAAATAGTTAGGTTTTATGAATTATTTATTTTAAAATGCTTCGTTTTTCCGAGTGTCACTGCGTTTAGTAGCCTAGTTGTCTGATTGTACGAAGATAGAAAAAAAACATGTGTGTGTACATAATATGTACACGCGTTACCTTTCGCCTTATTCTACGTATGTAGAAAAAACGACACTATCAATAGAAAAAAGGTATTTAATACATAGAAAGTTTTATTACAACGCATTATCTAGTTAAATAATGTTTATTTAAATATTATTTAAAAAATTCTACATAATTAAAGAAATTGATTTTTTTAATGTTCATTATGCTAACTTCAGGGTGTCGGTTTTTCGTGACGGTGTGCGGGTGTCGGTTTTTGTGACGGTGTGTGGGTGTCAGCTTTTGTGAATAGAATAGAATAGAAATATGTTTATTTCCCTAGTTCTTATGTTACAATATGTCCACAGGTCGATGGTGTATTCGGCCTGTGGGTGTGTCAGCTACTTACAGACTACATATGTTTGTCTCAGAGAGATCTATATAAGTCTCGTGCAGTGTGTGCTGTGAGCTTGTTAAATTGTACAGAATAAATTTATAATGTTGTTATATATTGTCTTATCCTACTTACAGCTAATTATAATTTATGGGGACGCGGAGCGGTCGTTCGCTTGCTGAGCAGCCGACTCCTGTCTTTTTTTGATACATAATCTATTTCACCTAATCTAGTATTAGTTAGTAGGGGGTTGTGCTGTCCGTATCCGAGGTAGGCTCCACCAGGGGTCTCTAAATCCTCGATGTGCATCTCACGGAGTCGACGCAGCATATCCTCGTTTAGGTCTTGTGCACGGAGATGCCATGGATCCCAATCTAGCATATCCCAGAGTATCGAGGTTTCTAGGCGTCTTGGGAATTGTCCGCTGGTTTTGAGAGCCATTCGATATTGGCGTTCAATTTTTAGTAAATTGCTCTTACTGTAACGTGAGAGCTATTGTACTACGCCATAATCCAAAATAGGAAGTATGCAGGCCTGTATTACTGCAAGTTTAACAGTCATATCCGTTTTGGCGTGCCATCCTATGATAGGGGCCAGTGCACCACGAGCCCGTCGCGCCTTCTGCACGACATGATCCGTCTGTTTGCCCATGCTCATTGTCTTGTCGAAGTGTACGCCCAGATATTTGATGCTTCTTTTATATTCAATTATGTCCTCTTTAATTCGGATGGTTCTGCGGTACTTTTTCTTGTGAGTGAACATAGCACACTCCGTTTTGTCCACGTTACATTTTAACCCCCAGCGACGGTAGTAGTCGATGACAGTGTCGGCGGCCCAGCCCGCGCGTTGTGTCGCGGAGTTTGGGTCGGGAGACCTGTTAAGGATGCACAGATCATCGGCGTATTGGGAGAGCTTGAGTCCGCCGATACGGTCCCGTTGGTCCCAGACGTCGTGTACGTACAGATTGAAAAGGACCGGACCCAGAATAGAGCCCTGGGGAACCCCGTATGGTACCGGTTTTTTGTCACTGTAAGTGGTTCTGAAGCGTCCGTAGGTTTTGCGACCGTTAAGGTAATTCTCTATTATTTTGATGATGTTGTTCGGGACGTCAGCTATTTGGAGTTTCTTCGCTAGACCTTCGTGGTTTATTGAGTCAAAGGCCTTCGAAAGATCTGTCAGGACCATGCTTACACTTTCTCTCGCTTCCAGCGCATCCGTAATGAACTTTCCAGTGCGAAGGATCTGTGTGCCTGTTCCTCTGTTCTTGGTAAAGCCATGTTGGAACGGCGGTTGTAGTCTGTCGGCCGTCTGTCGCAAGCGCGACAAGAGTAGGCGTTCGTGTAGTTTACCCATGATGTTTAGAAGAGTGATGGGTCGGTACGATTTGGTGTCACGGTGATTCTTGCCTACTTTGTGAAGGAAGATACACTCCCAGATTTTCCATCTCTTGGGATAATAACCTGTCAGTAACAGGTAGTCAGCTATCACTTTGTACCTGGTGAGGAAAGAATTGCCACCGAGTTTGAGGGCGTCTGCTTTGATTTTGTCTGGGCCAGGCGCCTTCTTATTCTTAAAGCGTCTCAGCGCGAATTTGATTTCCTCTATGGAGGTAGGATCGAGAGGCTGGAACGGTGTGGTCTTCTCTGTGCTTTTATCTTCGTTGTTTATTTCAGCTTCGGTGACGATCGCCGCGTCAACCAGTGCGTCGATGGTTTCTTTCTCACTGTTGCAACCCTCAATGTGAGGGAGTCTCTGTACTGGGCCTTTGGTTGGGGACGCCACATCTGGGTTCTGTTGTTTTGTGGATCATTTATTATCCGTGTCCATTTTTCGCTGCTATATTCCACGAGCGCCTGTTGGACCTGGCGTTTCAAACTATTGTAGATTCTTTTTTGTTCCGTTATTCTGTTATGGTTGAAACGCAGTCGCCATGCTTTACGTTTAGCTTGGTTTCTTTAATTTATATTTTTTTTTTCCCCCCCTTTTTTCCCCCCCTCCCCTCCTCCTTTTTTTTTTTTTTCTCCCCCCCCTTCTTTCTTTTTTTTTTTTTTTTTTTTTTTTTTTTTTTTTTTTTTTTTTTTTTCTTTTTTTTTTTTTTTTTTTTTTTTTTTTTTTTTTTTTTTTTTTTTTTTTTTTTTTTTTTTTTTTTTTTTTCCCCTTTTTTTTTTTTTTTCCTTTTTTTTCCTTTCCTTTTTCCCCCTTTTCTCTCTTCCCCCCTCTTTTTTTTTCCCCGGGCTTTTTTTCCCGCCCCCCCCGTTTTTTTTTTTTGTTTTTTTTTTTTTTATTTTTTTCCCCCCCTTTTAAAAATGTGGCCCCCCCGGGGGTCCCCAACCCCCCCCTCTTTGTTGCCGGGGGGAGGGAATTGTGTTTTTTTTGTGACCCCCCCCTTTTTAATAGAGGGCCCCCAATATACCCCCCCCTCTTTTTTTTTCTTTTTTTTTTTTGTGTTTTTTTTTTTTTTTTTTTCCCCTTTTTTTTTTTTTTTGTTCCTTTTTTTTTTTTCCCCCCCCCCCCTTTTTGGGGGCCCCCCCCAGGAGGCCCCTGACCCGGGGGGGATTTTTTTCCCCTTAATTTTCAGGGAATCTCCGGTCAAGTGATCATAAGTGAGGTTGATAGCGACGCCTTCGATGAGGCGGTCTCTTTCTTCAGTACCTGGGGTTACGTCGGTCTGACTCCAGCGTAGTCCTCGCATCACGTACATGGCTGTAGTTAGATGCGACGCGATCGAGTGCGTAATCTTATCGTAGTTTATAAGATTCATGTGGATTTTGGTAAAATCCACCCGACATTCGTTGACTACGATTATGTGAGGTTTGTAACGGCCAGCTAAGGATTTTAGCTCGAGGAATTTACCTTTTAGCCCTTGCGCATTAAGGTGCAATATGCGCAACTTATGATATTGATTTCTTGGATTATTTGTTGAGAATTTTTATTAAGATTTCATGTTGGAGCTGAAGCTGGTGTAATATTTGTTTCATGGTTGTTTGTAGCTCTTGCTCTAGCGGTTTCATGCTAGTTTCTTTGTTTTCTGTGCGTTCATCCAGTTGCGTTGTTGGCTGTTTCTGTGATTGTGACTGGGGCGCCTGCTTGGGGAGCGGTGGAAATTGTGAATTTGAGGTTATGTTCATATACGAAACGTTTTCCTGTCGGTATTTCAGTGCTGCGTATCTGCATTCTGCTGCATCTCGCTTTTTCCTTTCTTTTTCTTCGTGTTGTGCCAGTTGACGGTTCACTGCCTTCTGGAACTTTTCGCATTTGGCTTGGTTGGCCCCATGGCCTGTTTTTTTGCATGCTGTGCATATTTCTATATCTATGCCTTCTTCGTTTTGAATTATGAAGGTGGGGTGTTTCTTCTCACCGTGACACGCCGATGTCGCATGCGTGAAGAGGAAACATTTCTTACATTGTACTACTCTCCTGGGGTCGTCTTTGTATTCTTGAGGTTTCATGCTGAAGGCTCCAAAGTACGCATGCTTTGTTGTCTTCATAAGCGTGGCGATTTCATCGTATGTGTGGGCACCATCAAAGATAAACAATTGTAGGTTACCCTTAATTGTTCTCATTTTGATCGGTCTCACACCAATGCACCTCTCCATTTCCTCAAGGCATGAGTCATTCGTCTCATCGTAGATGTTCGTGATGAGCACAACCTTTGTCTGATAGGTCTGCTGGGCTTTGGGGACGCGTGCCACGAAGCGGAGCCCGCCGTCAAGTTTACTTAACTCTTCTATAATTATTTTCCTTGTGTCCGCGGTGTAAACGCGGATTGTGATAGTCCTCTTGTTACCAGTATAGTGCGTATCTTGCTCCATGCTCTGTGGTTATTTTTCTAATTTTGTTAAGGTATTCCGGATCGTTGATTTTCTTGACATCTGTTATGATTATGTCGGGGATGTGAGTGGATGATGTGATCACTCTCGGTTGTCGCTGGGTCGCTGTCGAGTTGGGAGTAACGGCACCTCTCTTTCTCTTCTTGCGTTTGGGTGAGGTGAATGACGCATAGTCATTTTCTCTTTCGATTTCGTTTTTGTGCTCCTCTTCGGTGGAGAGCGAGGAAAAACGGTTGCTTGTTGTTATGCTGGGCTTCGAGTTGGTGGTCGGGCTGGCGGTGCGCACCCGCGCTGTCGCGTGGCCAAACTGAGTCGAGGGGTCAGCAAAAGGCGGTATCGATACTGTCATGTCTTCGCGCGCAACGAGGGTGACATTGCGAGCTCCCGTGACAACGTTCGCTTCCTTAGTTTTCGTTTTCGTGGCACCAGTGGTTACTCTGCCGGGCGCCATCTCAGAAATCGCGCCACCAAATGCGTAACGCGGTGTCCGGCGAGTAGGGTGGTCCGACCCACA